TCCACGATCACAGTTTCCGCCGGTCATGAACATGGTGTCAAACATGTCCATCAATGGGTCCGGAAGCGTTTACATTCTCATCAAAAGCCTAGAAATTGAAGACTACACTCTTTGTGAGGCACAATCGTGGCTGTCGGACGTTTGCTCGACTCAGATTCTCATCTCCGGCACGCACGGCGCTTCCTTGAAAGCCATGTGCGAGAACCCCAACGACGAAACTGCCTACAACCGCATCCATCCACCATCCAAAGAACCCCCTACACTACAACTAGGTTGGACCGTACGTTCTTGACCCCGTATCCCCCGTCGACACCCCATACTATTGTCAATACTAACCAGAATATCCCAACTAGGATGTGGCCCAAAACTGGTCCACGTCCATGGATGTCAACGGCGGGCTTCGCGTCAACAACGGCTCCAACGCGCGAACCCTCTCACAGCTCATCCTCAAAGAAGCCAAGATCGACCCCTACTTCCCCACCATTGCCGAAGCCCTGTCCGCGTATCTCGCCTCGACCGTCGTCATGAGCGCCATCGACTCGCCCTTCCACCACGGCTGGGACCATCCCACCAAAATGCTCGACGCCGCCGCCACGCAAGAGTTCCAGGCCAAGCTCCAAACAACAGAGTACGCCGCCGGCCACACCCTGCCGTGGCAGAAGGCCTGGTACATTGTGCTCTTCATCGTGCCGGCGCTGAGCCTGTTCTGCATCCTGTACATGCTCCTCAACGGCGGGGTCATCACCGACTTCACCGAGCCGAAGACCCTGTTTGCCCTGGCGCTGAATAGTCCCCCGAGTGCCCAGATCTACGGGAGCTGCGGGAGCGGCCCGGTGGGCAGGGACCTCGTCGTCCCCTGGAGGGTGTCGTACGAGCCGGAGCTGCGGCATTACTTTTTCGAAGAGGCCAACGATAAGCCGTGGAGGGGGAGGTATTCCAGGGAGGAATTGCATATTCCGGGGCCGGGAGAGGATTATCTTGGCGCGAATTATAATAGGTTAAGTGCCAGTAGATTAAAACTTTGAGATGGTGTGGATAATGTGAATGGAGCTAGTTTCGAGGCTGGAGATGTCGATTCAAGTGTTGGTGGTTTTGGTTTGACAAGATAAAAGACGGCTATTGCCTTGTGCTTTGAGTGATCTTTTGGCAGCCCATGCGTACTTGGTGCGCAAATGCTAGTAGCAAGGCCCCTTTCCCGTGTATGATTCATTAAGAATGATGTTTATACCCCAAGTTTGTTGAAAATCATTCTGCTAATAGTATTAGAAAGTAAGATGAAAGCCACATTAACTCTAGGCTCTAATATAATCTCGCAATGACGACCATAATAACTCTTACACGCTAGTCTTGTGGTGTCGTGACATTGCTACGGAAACTACAGTATTACAAGGTATCCGGTGATTACTACGAATTGCGACGGTCGTTCTGCACGCCTGCGTTTCCATTTACCGCACGCCCATTGAATACTAGGTTAGCAGCTGTACTAGACAGACGGCAAGACGGCAACGAGTCGAGTAGCCAGCTCGAGACTATGACACGACAATTTGCTCATAAATAGACTCGGCGCCTTTGTAAAGTGATCCTGGCATCAGATTAAAACGCAAAGTACCCGCAGACTACTACGACACTCCTTGCCCCCTCACAGATTCGTCCTGCAACGGCCCGCGATAGCCCTTGCTAGCTTTGAAAAACCACAAAACGGCCACGAAAATAGTAAGCCCTCCCCAAATCAGAGACGAGTAGTTCATGGTTTCCGCATTGGTGGGCAGACTCGGCGGAAACGTGTAAATGACGCCCCAGACCAGCAAATAAAGACAAGAAACGCCATTGACAAGGAACCCGACGACTCTCCCGAGTCGAAAGGGCCCGTAGCGAATGTTCTTCCTCCCCGTCAGGATATTTGGCAAGATGCAAGCGACAAACGAGCTGCTGGAGAGCAGGATGAAGCCGCTGACAAAGGCGTTGAAGGCAGTCGTGCTCCCAACGTAGATGGCGCCAAGGAGGGTCGTCAGGACGGCGGAAACAACGGTCGTGTAGACGGGTACATGCTGCCTGGGACTAATCTGCATGAGCTTGTCCTGCATGGGCGTGGCCCCGTCGCGGGCCAGCGCCCAGAGAGTCCGGCCGCACGTAATGTGCAGCCCCAGCACGGTGAAGGATATCGTGACGAGGATCATGGACAGCAGGGCACACGCGCCCGCGTCGGAGCCCGTGGCCTGTCGGTATATCTCGGCAATGGGATACTGCGACTGCAGCAGCCCGTCGTAGTCGTTGACGGCGTACAGGACCGCCACCAGGTACGCGAGCCCGGTCACGAACCCGATCGACACCTGCATGGCAATGGCGAGCGGCACGTTCCTCTCCGGGTGCGGAATCTCCTCAGCCAGGTGCGTCACGGCGTCGACCGGCCCAACGCTGTAGGCGCCGTTGAGCATGCCCGCCAGGAAGACAAATCCGTCGGGATAGCCAATGTCTGCCGTCCACTGTGTCCACACAAAGGCCGACGAGGCGTGGCCGGGGTGGCCCTCCAGCCCGGGCACGGTTGTGACGACGACGACGGTGATGAGGAAGAAGGCGACTATGCAAAAGGCGCCGGCGCGGTTCAGCCCCGGCATCAGGCGGTTGCCAAAGATGACGGAGAGGCAGGCGAGCCAGGTGAAGAGGACGTAGGCGACAAAGACGTGCCATTGCTTGGCGACGAAGCCGGGATGCATGACGGCGTACATTTGCACAATGGTATTGCCAAAGATGGACGTCATGCTCGCGGCGCCCAGCAGCCAGGCGAAGTAATTCCACCACCCGGCGAAGAAGCCAACCGGCCTGCCCCAGCGCTTCCCCGGCGTCACCGAGGCCCAGTGGTACACGCCGGCCGACGACGGCATGGCGCTGGCGAGCTCGGCAATGCTGGCGGCCACGTTCCAGTAGCAGACGGAGACGGCCATGAACTCGTAGAGAACGCCCGGTGGTCCGCCGTTGAAGATGGCCACCAGGATAGAGCCACCGATGGCCGGCCACACATTGCCCACGACCAGGCCGATTCCAGCCAAAGAGAAGAGGCTGAAGTTTCGACGGAGCTCCTGAGCGTGTCCAGACGCATTGATGTACTCGGCGTCTGCTGCAGATGACACGGCTGCTTTCGGGTCGTGGGTGGCTTTGTGATCCATGGCGCAAGCCGGTTCCCCGGACGAGGCACCAGAACCCTGCATCGCGTGGAACGGTGCAGTCTGGCAATCCGGTTCAACGGAATGATCAGTTCCTCAGATTGTGATGCGCGGAGCCCTGGCGACTTCTTATAGTCGATTGTTTGATAGTCAGTCTCACAAGCCACAATAGTGTCATGTTGTTATCGCCAAATATTGCCCATCTGGCCCGCGACCCCCGTCTCCGCGGCTTTGTGTCTAGATGTCGATCCAAAACCACATGCGGTAGTTTGTGGAAACCAGTACAACACGACAGCCGATGTACAAGGGCTGCCATCGCCCCCGCGAATTGGAGCCGTACATGTAAGTGCGGAGGTAACCAAGGACCATCGACTATCGAGATTGTGGCAATTCCTCGGTGGTTGACCATACCCGCTACTTGGTAGCCCGGAAGATAAAGCCATCAGGCTGTTGCAATCATGACCCACGCCGCCGTTGACGCCGGTATTTTATAATGTCGATACTGTCTGGTGCCACATCACCGACCGGGCACCACTTGTGAAAGCCCATGGTTCAATCCTTATCGTTTTCCGGTACCGGCAAGTCGACTTTATCCCGTCGGAGCGTCCCTAGAATATTTTTCGCATACGTATATAGGAAAGATAAAGCCCAGAGGAGGTTAGTACATATTCAGGAACATACTCGACAGGCACACCACTCCCAGCGATGGACTAACCCGCGAAGCCTTGCCGCGTTCGGGTCGTCGGTTGCAGAGATGGTCGAGATACGCGACACTTGTCTTCGCCTCCATGGAATTGAGCATACTCGGTAGATATAGGACATCGGCGCAAACGAAATAGTTGCCGAGTAGCGATTCCCCAAAACCCCGTCGCCCATCATGAATAAAATATAACTGCTCTAGCGCCGCCGAACCAGCGCTTTTGTCAACACCAGCACCATGCCTTCTGCACAAGTATTTGCAATACCAGCGCCGACAGGCCGAGCACAAAAGGTTACTGTCTTTTCGCAAGTTGTACAGCCAACATGTCGACTTTGCCAAGTGGGAAATGTGTAGCGCTAGCAAGACGGCATGGCAGGTTGCACTGTTACCAAAGTCCACAGACAAGTACATGTGTGTCGTGTCCTCCAAACTTGGTGCCGTTCGTAATAGTAGTGCGTGCTGCCTCTTTGTGAGACCATCTTCCTTTTTTGAAAGTGCCGCCGCCAGGAGATAGATTGTCAACGCCATGATTCTCTGCTACTAGGCTCATCATTATCAGTAGACGCTGCATATGAGACCAGGCAACTCGCGTAGCGTACATGGTATCGGGGACCAGATCATCATCTACCATGAGGCACAAGGGCAGACGTGCACTCCAATAGTATTTCCGGGAAATCGCAATCTGAGAAGCTCATCTACCAGTGAGAAATGTGTCAGACACGGGAGAGGATTCATCTCGCCAAGAATGGACCTGCAGGGATTCACGCCTCGACACGTCCTTCTTGTCTGGAACCTCCACGGCCGACTGATTGGCATCTGCGAGATCTGAACCCACATCAAGCGCAGCACGGTTACACTTGATGAAACTTCGACCGCATATTCCAATCGTATCTATCGTCATGGCTCCCGTGTTTCTCAATCTGACTGTATGGGCAAGGCTAGCCCTGCAAAGCCGCTTTTACAAGCAAATACCTCCGTTCTTTATTAGTTCGCCGTGCGCAGTGCAAACATGTCTGCTCGGGTTCTCACCTACATTCTGTCTCCTCGTCGCTACGCAGTACTCCGTGTCTTGTGTTGAGCTCAAATGGACGCCCCAAGCGAAAACCACACGGGCTCTATAACCAGCGACACTGCGGAACATGGCGGTAGCCAGCCAGCCCTCCACCATTAACAAGGGCACCTCTTTCCAGACACAAAAGGCCTTTACGACGCTCTCTGCCATAGGAACAGGCTATGGGGCAACCAACACGGCCGTTGGGCTGCTCCTCGTCCTAGGCAGCACTGTCCCCATGGGCGGCTCACCACTCTTCTTCTGGGGGTTTATACTCCTGATAGTTGTTGCATGGGCCACGGCTTCCTCTCTTGCCGAGCTGGCTTCGGCGATGCCACATCCCGGGGGCCAATACATATGGGTAAATCAGCTCGCGCCGCCAAGTATACGCCGCGGGCTCTCATATAGTACAGCCATGATCAGCTGGTTGGGCGCTGTAGCCACAGGTGCGTCCGCATGTCTGTCGGCGTCAGTGGGTATCTTTGGCGTCGTCAGCTTCCTGAATCCGGATTTTGTCTACCGTCGTTGGATGGGCTTCGTCGCCTTCCAGATTCTGAACTTGGTTACAATGTTTTGCTCATTCTTTGAGCAAGCGTTGCCCAAGATCTCCAAGGCACTCCTATTCGTCAGCGTTGCATCAGCTGCGGTGGTCTTTGTCACGCTGTTTGCCACGTCGCGCCAACACGCAACCCCGGAGACGTTCTTCACAACCATATCCAATACGAGCGGATGGCAAGACGGGATTGCCTTTTTGACCGGTCTAAGCGGGATCAATTGGAGTCTTTGCTGCCTTGACCTAGTGACACATCTTGCCGAGGAGATTCCTTCACCAAGCACCAATATTCCGAGGGCGTTGATGTGGAGCATCGTTGTGGGGTTTATATCTGGTATCCTGGTCATTACGTCCGTGTTTGTAAATGTACCGGTCGTTAACGCAGACGATGATAACTCTGCCCTGATCCTGTTTTATAAAATAAGCGGTAGCAAAGCCGTTGCTGTGGGGATCTGGATCCCGATTCTGGTAGCCATAGTCGGAGCCTTGTGGTCTATTCAGGTATGGCAGTCTCGTCTATCATGGGCCATCAGTCGAGAAAGAGGATTTCCGCTTCATCGATATTTGGGAAGAATCGCACCTGAACCGTTTTCCACGCCAGTATGGTCTCTTGTCTGGTCGGCCGCGTTTTCCGCAGCGTTTGGATGCCTATACCTCGCGTCAGAACTTGCCTTTAATTCTCTGATCTCGACAGGACTGCTCCTGCAGTACATTAGCTACAGCACTCCAGTCGTGTTGCTGCTTGTACAAGGCCGGTCTACATTTCGACATGGGCCATTTTGGTACCCTAGGCTGGGCCTGATGGCTAACTTGATCATGTTGGGCTGGACGGTGGTGGCCATCGTGTTCTATTGCTTCCCGTACCAAATTCCTGCCGAGGCAGAGAAGATGAATTACGTGTCCGCCGTCTTGATAGTTGTTGCTTTTTTCATTTGCACCATCTGGTTTACCTTTGGACGTCGGAACTATCAGGTCAACTACTTTTTAAGGAAGTAGAGATCGGTTAGCGTGGGTCTTTGCTTCAAGTCAGTCTTACAACCGACATATTCAAATATCAAGAGCCCGCTTGGTATAGAACAACACACCCAAAAGTGTAACGCATGGTGTGGTATTTGAGTACTTGGAGGCCGGTAACATGATGATTGCGCTGTCACATCGGCGGGAGACCTTTCAACTGCATTAGGTAGAATTGCACTACTTGCGCTCAAACGAATGGTATCTGCAGATTTTCCCAACTCGCATACGTGAACCTCGAAGTTTGGAATCAGAAAAAGGCCTTTTGGTGAACAATAAGACATACTATGCGGCTCACCCTCCCACATTATGACGGCACGGATGGTTCGCCCAAGGGGGTATGTATACCATGCAGGCCAATGGGAATCGGGAAGTCGGTCTCGGCTCTACCCAACTCCTGTAGCGTTTTGGCATCCAAACACAGCAGATACGATGTCTGCGCACTACCGTCCAGAACGACGGTGAGGATCACACCGTCGTCTTCATCGGTGCCACCTGGTCGTGGCACAAAAATGGGTTCGCCGGGTGTATGTCCAACTGGGCCGCTCCAAATCAGGGCGTCCCGCGTCTCGACATCGGTCTTGACAATTCCATCCATCCAGAACCCCACACCGCGATTGCAGGTGCCGTAGACATATCTATGCGCCTTTCCGGATCGGGAAGGGTTGATAATCGGTAATTCCCCAGCGTGCGGGCTGAGAATGGCGAAGACTTGTTCGGCTGCGAGTGAGTAATCGCCCATGTGCGTTTGGGAGAGGGCCGGCAGTGCAAACTTGTACCTAACAAGCTTTGGCTGCGACGTCTTATACTTGTCGCGCTTTCGCAGGTCCTTTATGGCGTCTTGATTTCGATTCATGAGGATATCATAATATAACATGTGCATAACATCTGTATTTACGTATTCCACCATGTCAAGGAAAATATTTGTAATTTCCTCTCCGTTGCTGCCTTTCGACTTTTGCTCAAAGGCATTGACTGAATGAAAGAAAAAGGAAGCTGGGGTGGAGAACCTGGCGACGACTCCTCTGCCGTGCCGCCTGTCGACGGCGAACCACTTGCATTTCACTGATTTGTCAAATGGTTGAATGGCGTCGATGACGTTGCGTTCCCATAGAATTTTGAGGCCGTTCCAACCGAAATGCGACGTTGGGACGCAGAGCACAACGTAGTTCTCTGTTAAAAAGAAGCTGTGGATGTAGGCGGCCGGTAGCTCATTTTCTGCGATGGTGGCTAGGATGTCAGTGGTCCCTGAATCTGCATTGACTCGAAAGATACGATATGTGGCTCTTCTACCCAGATCGATGTTGAAGTTGAACAAATCTCCAGTGACGGGATCCTTTTGAGCATGTGCGCAAGAAAGCGGGCCTTTCAACTTTGGGTGCAATTGCTGCTGTGCCGCGGACCCGAGGGGTTCCAGTGTCTCGGGGTCAATCTTCTCCAAGGTGGAGTTATCTGTGGTAATATATACATTGTCTAGTCCGGTTCGATGACCAACCCGCCGGCCTCCACTGCTGTCCAGTCCAGGCATGTTGGCTATTACGGCGACGTTGTTGTTCACTTTCTGGGGAAGAAAAATGCTCATAAACTTGGCGAAAATTCCGACACAGGGGTCACTCCTTTGGCCAAAGGACACACTCGTCTGCCAACCGTGTTTTTTCACCATGGCGATGTATTCCTCGGATTGTCCGCGAGAAGAGTACACAACTGAAGTTGCACTGTCTCCGGCAGGGGGCGGTATAATGTCAAATCGGTGGGTGTGGGCGAACCCATCAAACCAATGGGAGACATGGTGTGTGCCTCTTGAGGTATTTTCAACCATGGACTGTCCAGGTCCGGTTCTGAATAACGATCCAGCAGCCCAGGAGGGTATAGAACCCTTGACTTTTAGATGAACCGAGTCATACTGCTCATCAAGAGCGTCAAACTAGAAGCGGTCAGTACGATGCCTGGTCGCCATACAAAAGTTTTCCTGTTGTCCAGGGTTCCAACTTACGGCTCCTTCGTTTGGCCACGAAATCCATCTTTGATTCTCAAAGTTCTGCAATGCTTCTTTTGCATCTGCTTCCTCATCTGCTGCGGTGCGACGAATGACACTAGGGTCATTCATTGCGGCGCTCATTGTTGTGGTGTACGCGACAAGGATATACACCGGTGATGGATGATTGCGATACAGTTTCCGCCAGGTCTTTTGGTTACCGCTGTATTTGCTCAAGCGACCATATCATAGACATGGAAGCATCGTATGAAGAAAGATAGTGGCGAGCGCTCAAGGATTTGTACCCACACCGACGAGGGCACGGATTTCGACGTCGGCTGTATTTCAAGCACAGGCCAAGAATCGTCCTATGTCAGCTACAAGTTGAACGGGGAAGACGACAAGTTTGGGCAAGCAACCTGAGCATCGCAGATGTTACCAGAAGACGATTTATAGCTGACGGCGGGCTGCCGTTGGGGGCAACCGGGATTGTACCGTTCGCGGTCTTTCCGGCCTGGAGCAGCATGGACAGGAATGGTTTTGGCCCACATGGCCACACTGCGTGGCCAACAAGCGAGCCGGGGGAGATGATGACAAGTTCTGGCGGCGCCAAGTTCCGCACGCCATATCATGGAGGCAGGTTATCAGAAGATGGTGTCAGGGCACAAGTCTGGCTTGAATGAAGCTCTGGGCAGAGCAAGTTTTCTAAAATTGGGTGGGACCTGGGGCGCATGGAGGCATGAAGCCTCAAAGAGGCACCTAAGCTTTTTTCTGGTTGTGACAAGGGGTTCTCATCCCATGCCGTCGGCCATGGCCACCATGTGCGCTGAAGTTGCTCGCATTCGGATTTGGACGGGGATCAAGTCGAATGGCTTTCTCGGATGGGTAACGCCCGCGAGGTCGAAGACATCTGCATGGTCGTAGAAAAGCTAATGGGACGTCCCGAGGTGGTGACGGTTGGAAGGTTGCGGATCATGCCAGGTGCCGGTCTGTTCTGCGTTGAACAGGCAGAGTGGGGCTCAGCGTCGCTGTGCAGGTCAAGATTCATTGATCACATCCCGCCTGGCACAGAGGAGAAATCTCGGTTCACCGCTTTGGTGTTCGCATGTGCTGGATAGAGCGTATTGCTGTTACGTACTCATGCATGGCACAAAGAGGTTCTGGGAGAGCTCTACATAATGGTTCCGTCAGTGCGCTGGTGGTGACTCTGGTGAGATTGAGAATCGTGACTTCAATGTTCCTTTTTCAGGGAGCGGGCAGGTTCTGTGACAGGCGCACTGTGTTCCTCTTCGGCTGCCATGGCTCCTTCCGTTCCAAGTCCAACTTCCTACTTTCTTGCAGCTCCATCATTGATCAATTGATATGTCCTGACAAGGCGCCATGCATTGCCAACCGCCAGCGTTTGCAGACGACGGCCAACAAGACACCACAAACGCAATCTCCTGCCGTCTTCAAAAATCACCTTGTCGTTCGTGTTTGAGCCACATCGTTCAGTATTCGTCATGACGCTTTAGCCGCACGTGCGTCTCTGGCTGTTGGACCCGGCTCTGAACGCCAAGTGCTGGAACTTCGCTTCGCTGCCACCGTGATTGGTCAATGTCAGCCTACAAAAGCCTGCCTGTCGAATCGATGGCCACTTGCGTCCTGGTTGCATGGGACTTTGTCAACTGCCATCCAGTTGACCGGTTGATCAGTTCACCGTCTGATCCGAGTTTCATCGCCGGCTACATGATGCGTCGAAACTATCCAAAGGTGCAGCCGTCGTGGCGTTTGTGCGGAACCCGCGACATCAATCATGCGCCGACGACAACCATCCATCACACTCGGATCACTGACCCCAGCACGTATTATTGCCTGTGCACTGAAATAGCCCTCTGATGACGGGGACTTGCGAATGCCTTGTCCCTCGTGTCCTTGAATTGCTTTGTCCTTGATTGGCTTAGAGGCTTGGAGCACTGCTACACGCAGTCGCGCTGACCGCATTCGCATTCGCATTCGTTTCGTTGACCGGCGATATCGCAAGCATAACGCCGCAATTGCCAATACCGCTGATCGTGCTGCCGAACCCGACAACCAACGCGATACTAGATAACTTTCTGGGACCCCTGCCTTTCTCGCACGTTTGAGTTCTTCCCAGATGAGGCTCAAGGCCATAATCAATCAGTACTGGTTAGGTAGGCAGGCTATGGCTGCTGTGACCTCGGAACCCAGAGTCTGAAATATCTTTCTATTTCCCGCACTACTACTCGAGCCCCAGATGACTAGAGTTGCTCTCGACAAACTTGCCTAGCAACACGGGTTCAGAAGATCATCAGTCCTGGTCGGCCGATATCTGGAAAGACTACGGATGCGGAGCAGGAGGGGAGATTCTTCTCTGGCGTGGTCAGTTGCCACAGATATATCATCGATTCAGCCAACTTTGATAAATGCCAACATATTTGGCCAGATGCTGTATTAGCATTGCTAAAGCATCTAAAATATCTCCCATGTTTCTATAGGTACACAGAATGGTGCAATAGTGTGTGGACATAATCTCGTTTTACACCACCCGGAGATTTTGCACCACATACGCACTATATTGGAATCGGTGTTCCATGGATACATTCTTCCCAGTCCAGAACGCTGACGAAATCTGTCACTCGCTCTCCCCTGGGGATATAGACTGAGAAGACAGACACGTTGGCTTCTCTTGCGTCCACCATGTCAGGACCCGTGGTATCTGAAGGTTTCGCGCTAGCTGACATTCTTCTCAGACTTCTGAGTGCCAAAAATTCACCAGAACGGGTCTCCTTCATCAGAAGCTGATCAGCAAGTGGCCTTTGAAGGGGCATTGCAGCCTGGAATGCTCAAATACATCTCTCGCGAAGCCGCCCACCGTCAATCTCGAGATACCGTAGTGCTAATGAAGCGCATGGAACCCGCGTCAGGTTGGAGTGATTGGGGAGACTATTATACCTTGGTTCCAAGATTGGAAGCCGTGCTGCGTTCTCGAGCACAACGTCACGTCGTGGAGGCTTCCCTAGGCGAGACTGACTACATCAGGGGGATGCGAGTTCCAAAGGGCTAGAATGGTTCAACCAATGTCAGAAAAGCGTAAGCGAGGCCGACCATGGCCCGATAAAAATCTCCAGCACTGTTGTCAAGGGCTTCGACCGAAACGCGACGTAGAACCTATGACGGGGTATGCCTGAGGCTGTATTGATAAGGCTGGCAGAGGTGGGTGCTCAATGATAGCTGACGATATCCCATGGTTTCGTAGTAGTCAAGTCTGCCATCTCGTATAAAAGTTTGAAGGGCCGCGATACAGATTCCGTATTCATGAGGGGAAGACTCGAGGATCCGCAAGAAAGCTGTCAATATTCCTCTTCCTCGACTTGGTCATCCCCCCCAAGTCCACAACTGAGCTAGTCCTTGACCCTGAACGATTGTTGGCAGGGTGATCCGGCAAACCGGCCACCCGGCTTGTCACGCGTGCAAGCAGGACTCTCATCCTCTCCAGCTCCTTCTCCACGGGCCCGTCGCGCGTAACCAAGTTGTCTTGAATAGTGACTTCATCCGTGATAGCCAAAGGCTTGATAGCGGCTTCGATGCGACGGAGCTGTTCCACACGAAGCCGTATTTGCTTCCGCTCCTCACTTAGCTGGGTCAGCCGGCGGACGATCGCCTCATACTGATCTGCTTCCTCGGGGTAATTATCAAGGTCCGTTTCGATCGGCCACGAAGAAGGCAGCTCCTCAATCGCATCGTCCGCAGCTGCTGCATCATCAGCGCATAATCCCCAGCCACAAAACACAGACAAGGAAGCTCACCCAGGTCCAGTTCGCGGCCGATACTGCTCTCCGACTCCTTCAGCTTGCCGACCCGTTCCTCTGCGTCCCTCGCGTACGAATTGCTTATCTGCTCGGCAACATTGTAGCTCGCTTGCGGGGGGTAGACGCGCCGACAGTGCAGCTGGATGGTCTGGTTGAGGTTGAAGAGGGCGTCGTCGAGCACGCGCGTCGGGATCGGCTGGCTCGACGCGTTGTTGTTGCGGCGCCAGATGCGGGATGGCGCGAGCGGCTGTGAGAGGAGGTTCGTCTGCGCCGTTATGAAGGATTCTTTGAGCGAGGGGACGGTTGGCGTCGGCGCGGCCATGGCTGCTTGGCCGAGGGAAGTTGCGTGTGTTGAGGCTAGGTTTGCGAAGCGGGAGCTGCGAGGTTTGGCGTTGCGGGATGCAACATGGCAGATGATGCCCCACCATGGAGCCTCAAAGCAATGTTGACGTCTCGAAGCTCCGGTTAAGGTCGCGCATCATTATTATATGCGCGGCAGAAATTGTATTCTAGATTGCATTTGACGTGTTTGATTCTGTTTCGCCCGGAACCACGTGCGGTTGGAGGCGTAGCAGAGAGGGTGTTGCTGTCTTGCCTGCATCACTACACGCTGATGGCAAGATGCATTACTGGAGGACATTGTTGTGTGCACAGTACAGTAACGATAACTCTTGGCCAATATTGAAAGTTCCATATTAAGAGCGTGTTTCTATCTTCCTCTCGTCCTTAATCTCCACCACGGGGCTTATTTAGCCAACATTGAACAGCGTGTTTCTAACCAATAAATTAATTGCATTACTGAAAAGGAACGCATTCTCCATCGAGACGGACCCTTCCTGCGCGACACCTTTGAATGACGCATTCGCCATCGAGAAGGACCTGGCCTGCGCCGCAATTGGGAGGCGGCCGGAAAGTTGATGGGGGCTCCAACTGAGTTGATGGCCGCTGGGGAGGCAATGAAGGCTCCAGCTGGGATGACGGCCGCTGGGGAGGCCGGGGAGGTTGCAGGAAAGGCGATGGTTGCTGAGGATTCTGGAAAGAAACCCCCAAGTCAAACTGTCGCGTCTCAAGAGGTATTGCTGAAGCAAGGCTTGTCAAGCAAACGAGGGCGATGACGTTGTGCTTCATGGCTCTTCTTTAATCGCAGGTAGGAAGCAGTTGTAAGATTCAGAAGAGGTGGATGAGCAGAAGAGAAATGCGGTTCTACATTGCCGGTTAGAAGTTAGGATTACAATTCGACACACAACAGTCAGCGGGCGACTAATTTATAATGGTGAAATTATCAGATATAACCACAAGTGCAGTCAAGTGAATGACGAATTTTCGAAACCATGCCTTGCAGGAATTGCTTTCCGAGTCAGCCTGGTGCATCCAAGTCGCACCAGGTCAGTACAATAATCTGAAGTTGGTATCAGGCCTGGTGTTTCAAGTATCAAGAGTCATGGAAAAGGTTTCATAGGAGGGGAATATAATACTGTATAACTTGTGTATAACTTGTGTTAGATCGCCTGTATATAAAGATATAGAGTTCAGTTTCATGTGGCAAGGAGTCTGGTAGCTCTTCATTCAAGGCACGAACTCCCTCTAGCTGCTACAGATATGTTGCCGAGTTCGTTCGACGTTTCACAAAAAACCCCTCATCGCTGTATCAAGGCACGAGGAGTAGCATATTTAAATTAATTACCGGGTATTGCATGCAAGCTGTGGAATAGAATCGGTTTTCCAACTTCGCCCTGCCCCCCAGGTAAGTTGTCAAAGTGAATTAACGGCGTGACCAACAAGGATTCGTCAGAATTTCTGGCAGGCGCAAGTGGTCTGGTAGGCCACTTGCAAACAAAGACTTGGCTTCACCAACATTGAACAGTCTTACGTAGTGCATCCTGGGGATTGGATTTGAAAATAAGCACTGTAACATGTCCCCCTAACGAAAATGTCATCACTAACACCGATGAAACGGTAGAATATTAGACAAGACTTGGCAGCGCTTCCTGTGGCCATCTTATCACCAGCACATGTGTACCGCACAATGCACGTCATTGGTTCATAATGAGCGGTAAAATGTGATGAGAGATGCATCATGCTGTCTTCCGCCATGTCCATTGTTTGATGCTTATTCTAAGTCAGGCTGGTCAGAGTATTGAATTTTTTATAAGATTCACTTACAATATTTCATGATACATTGATAAGGTAAATAAATTTCGGCAGGTTCGCCAAGTGTCTATAGCCCCCGTGGCCTAATGGTTAAGGCGTGAGCCTTCTATCAGGGCATATCAGTCCAGGATCCGAAGCTCAACATTGCGGGTTCGAGTCCCGCCGGGGGTTTTTTGTTACTTTTTTGATTCCCCTCTACTCTACCTAATTTATTAATGACCAACATTGTTATTACTTTTTGTTTCTCATAGTTTTACAATAAATCAAGTACTAGCATTCCAGCTCGGTTTTTGTCAACGGAAAAAGCTGCATGTGCACTTTCAATAGCGACAAAGGCTGCTGTTTATCGGCATTGCCGAAAAGCTTTGAAAAGCCTCACAAAGTCTCACGTCACGGCTCCATCCCCCGTGGTGTGCGAGGGCTCCGGTGAGGTCACGAAATCCACGGCCCCCCGGCTAACAGCTCATGACCTCGGGTGCGTTCATTAGTTGCTTAAATTTTGGCATATTGTGATATAGCGATTTGTAAACAATTTTCTTGTTGGTACTCTTATTATCACCTAAATTACTAGTAAATACATGTATCGACCCTCTAGAATCTAGCTTTTTGTTGGATACATATCCTCCAGATAGTTGACTGGAGACTCAACGGATGACCTACGATATCTATCAAAAGCCTCCAATCTACCTGGCCAGATAGCTTCAGTCAAGGGCCAATTCCACTGTTCAAATCGATCCATAGCTTTCAATCGCGATAGTCTCAACAATTACGCGGCTTTGTATGTTTCTTCTGCGCAGTGTTTCCGTTGTTGGCTACTATGTTTGGCGTGTTGCGGGAGGTACAAGCTTGGTCTCTGGTAGCCGACTCGAGAAGAAACTTCCTTATTTCAGCAGCCCCCTTGATGCCGTGAACGGAAATCGCATTCAAGACAAGACCGGCAACGTGAGGCGCCGCAAAAGATGAACCACTCTCCAATTTAACATTAGAATCGCTCCCCGAAGAGGGACATTCTACTTGAACTCCTGGAGCTAGCATAGTGACTGCCGGGCCCCAGTTTGAGTTGGGCGAAATGACCCAGTTCTTGTCCATGTGGCCAACGTTGATGACGCCCTTGGCCGACCCCGGCGTGCTGAGGCTGGCGTCCTCGTTCTCATTGCCGGCGGCCGTGACGACGGGGATGCCGACTTGGCTAACAAGTGCTTCTATAAAAGTATCCAGTGCCTGCAGCTTTGGGATACCAAACGATAAGTTGATGACGGATGAATGCTGGCGGCCATTGCTAAGTATATGCTCTGCCGTCCAGGAAAGGGCGTGAAGGGCCGCAGAGGCAGCGCAGCTTCCCTTGTCATCTAGCGTCTTGACGGACAGGAGCTTTGCCCGCTTTGCCACGCCGTACGTCTTGCTGCCAAGTACGCCGGCGACTGCGGTGCCGTGCCCGCGGTGGTCAATCTCATCGCCGGGATACACAGTAAAGACGGTCTCGGCGCGGCCCTCAAACTCCTCGTGGGTGGTGCGAATGCCACTGTCGAGAATATATGCGTACATGTTGAGGCCGGCCCGATCATCATAGTAGTACTTGGATGCTGGATCGGGAGGGAACTTCTCATAAAAGGCCCCGGCGCGTCGGTGAGATATGGCTCTGAGACCCCACGGGGCACCCTTTTGTGTTTTCGATGCCCTCTTTGCTAGCATGGGATGGCGTCCTGGTGCCGAAGAAGTCTCGGGCCCATTTTGTAAGGAACGTCTGAGAGGGGCGGCGTTGGTGCCTTTGATATCGGAATCAAGTTGGGCTATATGCGACTCTAGACCCTCAGGTCCACGAGTCACCCCGGCTGAAGTCAGCCCGAAGAAGAAGGCAAGAATCGCAGAGGTTTTCATCTTGGAATCAAGGTTTCCGTGGACAATAGATCGCAATTGCAGGTTTTCAAGTCGTCCTTTTCACTGCAATCCGGCCGCTTATACGACGTTTTATATGAGGGTTGCCGTTGTAACCGAGCTACTCGCGTGTTGCTAGAGGATAGTGCCACTTTGGACTTCATTTAAACGAAGTTGTTCTTCACATTCATAAGCCACAGACGGAGGTTGCCGCCATATGAGTTAACACAATGCATCGCGCGATAGCGCACAATGTTCCCGGCCATTATGCGCAATGCGACTGGGAATAGGGGTGGGTACACTCCATGATTCCAAACAATGGCCGCGGTCACCGCGCATTGTGGGACATGGGGGCAAACGGGTTTTAAATTAATGACCGGTTCTTATTGCTCCAGGTTAAGTTGCGGCAATAGGACATACGGAATCCCTTCCTCCGTGGAGGAGCTCCTCCCAGCCGGTCTTCCCGATGCAGCTCGTATCAAACGGTATAAGGGGCTACTCAAGGTGCAAGTAAACCTGCCTCCAACCTAAAATTTGAATCTCCAAGGCTAGTTGGGGAGTATGGTATGCGCAAAGAGCAACATGAGGGCCAGGGTCCCCCTTGTTTGACTCTACTAACGTCGTGCGTTCTTGCAACAACTAGCTAGGCACAAAGTAATGTTGTGAACAAAACAAGTACAATTGATAGGTATTACGATTGACATTAAGCTAAAAAAATAGTTTATATGTATAATACAGCCCCTGTAAGTTTAACCATGAGTGACCTGACGACAGGGGAGTTTATGGGGACTGTCTGCAGGGACTTACGTGCTACCACGAGACTTTGCATCCGTTAAGTGATTCGTCCAGTTGGTCGCTGACAGGTATTAAGATAAATGGTTATAGACTATAATATAGGTTAGATGAAAAGGGAGTAGTGGCTCTTGTAATGGTGACTCGTATTAATAAGAGATTTTATCGTATTATCAGGTACTCTTTACCCCCACACGATCATTGTATTAATCATCTCGTATTGGCTTTAACCCTCCGGCTATATAACGCCACACGAAATATTTAGGGCCTGAATTATAAGCATCATATCGTAGTATATAGACGGACTTTAGGTACCATTTAACCGTTATTCCCTGGTTGGCTCTGGCCCCTAGAAAATCATGTCTCTATGAACATTTCCAGGGCTTGAAAGATAGTGACTGATAGCTTGAAGTAGGCGAAATTTGACGTTTGCCAAGAAGTAGGCGAGAAGCCCGCATTGAAAGTGCGGCGCCAGTGTGTCTTTGGTCGTCTTGCTACCCTCAACATTCAGTCCCTTTATGCGTAATATATAGAGGGTCAAAGCGCGAGAATCGCAGAACCTCAGCCATCCTGCATAATAAATATGAATCAGCATCGCTCTTACCTTGCCAGGGGCGTGTAGTCTGATCGGCAGTATGATCAGCCGTGCTAACAGAGCTCGATCCTTTTGTGGGTATTAGCCGGCTCGCATCACAGCAAATAACGATGCATGAATTGCAATCCGACCCCCAAGTTATTAGTCTACATGCGTCATCTCATAGGGAGTTTACTTAGAGTAACTGTTAATGGAATCGGCGGAACTACCCTTGGCTGCATATCAAACATTAGCCGTATTGATGGAATTATTGCATAACGAAAAATGCCCTATTGATGACTAGCTTCCAACTACAACAAGAGGTCAAAGATGTAGCTAGACCAGGACCAGACAATTTCCAGCAAGGGCCAGTCCACTGTTTTGTGCGATCTATAGGCACAAATTGATATGGTTACTCTACAAGAATTAAGCAAAGTAAACCAACACGCACTCAAAGCCACTCTGATGACTTTATTTTTTTCAACTAAAAAGTGATTACTCCCTTCTAGATCAAGTATTCTTACCTTGTAGAGCTTTGCTGGTTGTCTACAGTCCCCTCGTCTTGTCAGGCCACGCATAAAAGGCTAACGGCACCGCCACAACAGGGGTCGGTAATCAGTTCGCCAACAAGACATCATCAGCTCAATGTTATCTGAATTCCGGAGCTTGCCGTCGCCCGGGCTATTCATGGGCCCTGTGGCGCCGTGGGGTCCCACCAGCTTTCCAGTAGTTCAGTACAGAGTTCAAGGATTGGGTTGTAGAGCTCCTTTTCAACCTCGAATACGTAGTGTTAAACTTGACTCATGGGTTCTTCAGTCATGTTGGGAAAAGCCTAATAGCATAAGCCGAGCTCCCAGGGTAGCCCACACACACGGCGGCTACTACAATGCAAAGCCGATGATACTAGTTACACCACTTAAATTGCCATGCTGGCAATGTATCTGGCATTACAGGAGATATTACAATGCCGATGCCCCATGATATAAGTGGGAATAATCGCGTGCCATAAAATGCCGTGTTATTTTGTTGCCACCGCACGCAATGCTAGATTATCCTGGTCAGTCGGATCATTGACACCCCCTAACCCCTTCCCCAACATTCTACTTGGTACGGCGAGATATTCGTAGGCACACCAATCAGAAGTTCGAGCATAAGAGGCAGTGTCCTGATGGCTTGAAAATTTCTCCGAGTGAGATATGAAGGACGAATGTTAATAATGCCACAATCGAGGGAGCCACAAAAGGGGAAATACTTCACCTCGGCAAGCACTGTTATATAGGACCTCTGTACCCTCACCCTGTGTAATCGTTGTGGACATATAGCAATACCGCGGCGATTAAGAGCAGTAGTGGCACCATGTCCAACAAAACATGGGTGTACACGAAGACTTGACTTATATTTGCTATAACACTGTGCTGCAAGAGACTCGGCGATTTCCGTAGTCAATATTTCTCGCAGCGCAAGTAAGAGGCATACGTTTAGTATTGCATCCTGTTATACCAGCTGCGTTGTCTATAAGAACGCAGTTCCTGTCACTTGAGTGCTTCTTCCTTCACTTACTCGAGGACTTCCCCGACCGCTATCTAGTTTGACCTCGCAGCGCAACTCTGCTAAAAAGCACAATGACGCGTATGCACTGGTCTCTTATCCTCGTGTCTGCTCTACTCAGAGGAGCAGCAGCAGAGCCGGCTTCCTCTGGAGACGGCGCGGTCCCGGCCCTGGGGTAAGAAAATTAGCTTCCCCTTGAGAACATGACTGCCGATCACGAATTCAGATGCTAACTGTTTCACAGCCATATAGTGGTTCTAAAGAGTGGTCTCGAAGAGAAACATCTCGATGAACATCTTGAACGGGTTAAATCGTCTATCCAGAAGCGAAGCATAGAGAGCGGCAGCAGCGAGAACCAAGTAAACGGAGCAAGTGGTGTTAAACATGAGTACCGTGGGACTTCCATTGGGTTTCACGGCTACTCAGGCAGCTTTCCACCAGATGTGCTTGAAGATATTAAGCGAGACGAGCATGTAAGTGCCGCCTTCTCTATAAACGTCTTTATAGAGCCATGTGTTGGACGCTAACATTTTTAACTAGGTTGCCTTCGTAGAGGAGGATCGGATGATTACCGTCGAGCCCAGTAAACGAGAGGAGGTAGAAGAAGACACGACACCTAAGGATGGCGGCAGCAATAACCAGAAAAAGGGCCCGGGCCTGTTGTCTATGGGACAGGGGTAAGCGGCTCCTATTAATGCCAGTTCGGTCAAAGATGTAGACATTGATCCTAACCGCGAATCAGGTACAACACGTTTCTGGACAAGGGAGTAATCCCTGACGCCGTCCTTCTTCCCGGTGAAAAGAAGAGAGATGTACCCGCTGCCCTGGCTGAAGTACTGGTTAACCAAACCACAAGCATGAGGTTCAACTTCACCGCGCCCAGCGCAAACTTGACCAATGTGAACGTAACATCATACTTTGCCCCGCCTGATCCAGACGAGATTATGAACGGTGTTCTTGACGACTTGGAAAATGAACAAAACGCTACTGCGCTCAACGTAATACACACCCGAGCTACTGAAGATCAACAGGATTGCACGGGCAGTCTGACGGCCTATTACAAGCTTACAGAAAGCTTTGAGTATGTCTGATCAATATAACTTTTTAAAGGTTCAAAACTAATATGAATCGTTGCAGTTCGTATCTCAAGGCTCTGGACGTCAGCGGCGCTGCAACAGTATCTGGTTGGGGACAGAGTGCGTCTGTATCTGGCAGTTACCTGAATCAGGCAGAGGTAGGATTTGTATAACCCTCAAAAGAGAGTAAACTAACGATCATTCTAGCTCTCCAAAGAAGGCTTGACATATATTGCCATTATCGACATTCAGAGACAGGTAGATTTGCCCACTGGATTTGAGTTCAATAAGGCCAAGTACAGTGCGTCCACGTTTGCTCGCGACTTTGGCGACAGATGGATCCATGGTAAATATCCCTATTTCCTAGATGCTAAGTTTGGAATTCAGTAAATACTAATTGATCAGGTTTCCATACCGGTGGCAAGATGATTGCCCGGTTATCATTCAACTCGAAAGGATCCACTAGCAAAGACGACCTGAAAGTACAGTAAGTTCTTGCCATGTATCAGCCGACTAAAATCTACATAAATGGAACTAATATTCCTGTGTCCAGTGCCGAGGCTTCACTGAAGTTCTGGGGAGTTACCGGAGATATCAGTGCATCAGTCAAGAAGAGCATGGAAGAGGTGAGCAAGCACGCTGATGTAGAGATATCGCTATTTTACCAGGGAGACATGGGAAAAGTCATGGCCAAGTCGGGATCTCCTGATAAAGTTGAATCAGCCTCTGCGGAGGGATCGTTCAAGCAGGTCAAGATGTGGGCGGACCAGTTTATAAATAACGCCTGCCAACACAACTACGAGTACCGGTAAGAGAAGAGCAAGTCGATATGGAGGGCTTGGATAATAACACGTTTAATAGGCCCCTTCTCGACGAGTACAGAAACGCTGTCGGCTTCCCTTCGGACCAAAAAGTTCTTGACTACCGCACCGCGCACCGCGTCGTAAGTTGTATCGCACAATCCATCCACGTATCTAGACTAACTCGGGATTCAGTCGTACAAGATTCTGAAGGAGCTTGTTCGAATTTCGGAAATGACACAGTATATTGTTCGACGTAAGATCCCCTGTGTAGTTGGTCAACTACAACGCTTTCAATTCTCTAACCCTCTGGCATAGTCGAAACGCTGGACGCTGAGTTCAAAGACGAAGTCGAGTTCGCTGAGATCGAGATGGTGGAACTAAGCAGGAAATGGGTATTTCCAAACCACATAACAAGTCATAGCCGCAAACCAAGCACTGACATACCTCATGTTAGGTCGACTCTATTGTAGAGCAGCCGCAGAATGCACTGAGTCTAGGAAAGGAACTTATCCAAACATTCAGAGCCGAGTTCTACGACAAGTACGCGTCGGCTATAGCCCAAGACTTTTACATATCTGGCATAGAGGTAAGCACTATTCTGCTCACAACGCATGCCTCCATTTACTAAAGTATAATAGGTGCAATATGGTGACAAACCGCCGGCGAATCGCGTCATCGACATCAACCACCAACCCGAGGATATTAATCACGACTTTGGCGGAGAGTGAGTTACAACCGAGAAAATGACCCGCTATTTGATACAAAGGCTAAATACGCTCTGGGCAGATTTGTCTGGCTTGTTCCAATCTACACTACACGCCGCGACGACGCATGCACCTCCTTCAAGGTCGTCTTTGGCTCGGAAGGCGCCGGGCTCAAAGACCTGACAAGGAACGCACCAGGCCCCAACCGTTATCTCAAATGCGAAAAGGACATGTCCAAGGAAAAGATCCGGCGCTTGGCGCTCCATCGGGGAGGCGAGAACCTTGAGGAATTCCTCTCGGAGACGTCTCACGGCTTCGTGGGCAAAACAACCAATATCAACGATGGCCGTGGGGATGCGTACCATGCCATGTATCTCCTGTGGGCACATGACGGCAAACGAGACCCATCTTCGAAACATCAGCCCGAATTCATAGTGCCGGCGAATTAGAAGCAGCGCCGCAGGCCAACGCTTGGACAAGGCAGTAAGGCCAATGGCTTCTATTCAAGGCTTTGTAGTCAAGTGTTGTAATAATTTGACTTCTTAGCTGTCGTGGCTAAACTATATAGTCTTCTAAATAGCTGTAGTAAGATATAAATATTATTTTCGTGTGCGGTCCTCGCCACTTTTGGCCGGACCTGTAAAGATGCTCTACTCTTCCTCGCTTGTCTATCCTCATGTCACGCGGTTACGCGATGGCTACAGTCACGAGACCTAGAGTACAAGGCTCTTACCGACTTATATAAATAATCCTCCTTGGTCAACTGGGGTTTGAGACCATCCAAGGGCTTTTAAGACCAAAGACTGCTATGAAATGAATTGAGTCATTACTCCAAGCTCTCACTGAGCCCTTTTCACACCTCACCCTCATCACAGATAAGTGAATCTTCTTATGACGGCCTTTGGGCAACTTCTTCCTTGCAGTCGGCGTAGACAAAACCAGTAGGTAGGTATGAGCGGCAACACTGCAGTCATTTGGCCGGGGTCCAGCATGTTGCATCGACCACTCGGCTGCTTCCACGTCCTAATTGCAACCCAAATTCAGTCCATCGAGGGGGACATACTTCTCATATGGAGTACAGGTGACCTGTCTGGTAAACATGGCCATTGTGCGCTCACCGAAAATGAAGACAACAAGATGCAAATTCTCTGTCGAAGTGTTGCCCTTAGGAATGCCAACGAACATACTCCGTAGTGGCACTGAAGTGCACACTACCCGAAACTTCTTTTGACAGAAGCTTCTCTAGCCACATTCTATGTCAAAGATGTCGTTATTGACGCTATAGTCGTACATGCAAGGGACAGGTCCAGTTCTAACCTTGGGTGCCCATCACCGGACACGATGCTTTGGCCAGTGAAGCGACGCACGGGGTGATAGCGACTTGCCTCTTTTCTCATCTTGACGTCACACAGGATTTATTTTTATAGTCTGGCGGCTGTGCGGGGTTTGAAAACTTGAGTCTCCCCTCATATTAGTTGGCGTGACGAGGGCATGTAGTCTTATCTTTGTTCCGAGTGGTGGCCTACTGACACCATGATGCAGCTTCATGCCGTGTTCGCCACCGCTCAAGTCTTCTTACTACGTTGAGTGCCGCTGAGCCTATAGAAAAATTGCCTCAACAATGGCCAGCGCGGCCTTTATATCGGCAACCGCAGTCAGTTCAACTCATGGGCATCCCAAATCTCTCGCCTGATGATTGCCTAACGGTCACCTCATGATAGCCCAACCCGCCGACATTGTATGGTTTGTGATGTTCCTTTACCTTGAAAAAGTTCTTTGAGAAGTTGTTGCGATGACGACAGTAGGGCTATGATCTTGTAGTATGCTAACATGATCCCCACCAAAGCTGTACACTTCATGATGCTGTCTAAACGACTTTGGCGAGACTGGGTTTCTGGTGGCTGCCTGCCTGCAGAAATGCGAATTGCTGAGCCCGGCCGATATTTGCGAGGAAGAAGCAGTTTCAAGAGCAGGGATGTAATGTGACGGGGTATGAATATCCGGCCCTTCTTCAACCTGCAACAAGGCCGCAGGGAGTGAACCTAGTACGATGATGAAGCACTCCCGCCTCATTTGCTATGCTAGAAAATGCCCTGCTTATAGCGAATGTGTTAGTTCTAGCATTCAAATGCTCACAATCTACAAAGGAAGTCGTCAAGTAATGTACAATAGAAATGCGAAATGTATACCGCAGCACAATTTTGACAAGACGACTGATGAGAATCCAGGATTCGTTGCACGAGACCAAGCTTCTAATGTTCCAAGACCTTATGTCTGACTTGGAGCCTTGTTGATGCCCAATGAAGGCGGACAAGGTTTCAAAACCTGTTTTGGCACATTAAGTGTAACCCCAAAGGAACTTTCGGCAGCAACATTGCGACCAATCCTATCATTGCAGCTATCTCTGGCCTGGGAGGCCTCAAATCTCATTCCCCTCACTTTTTCCTTCTCCAAGGAGAGAGATGTCGCGGTCACATCCAACTTCAACTCCTCTATTCTTTCCCGGAGTAAATCTTACCGAGATTCATTTGAAAATGAGACTCGAGAGCTCAGAACTTTACACCATAGGGTGGATAACTGCTCTTCACATAGAACGTGCGGCGGCTACTGCGTTCCTAGACGATTTCCACGAGTCGCCAGAAAGGTTTGAGCAGAACGCTTCAGACCAGAATTCATATACCTGGGGTCGAATGGGCAAGCACAATATCGTCATTGTCTCACTTCCTGAAGGTACTGACGGGACCGCTGCTGCTGCGACTACGACCTCGAAACTCCTCTCGTCTCTCCCTCAGATCCGAATCGGTCTTCTAGTGGGAATCGGTGGTGGCGTAGCTCAACCTCACAAAGGACAGGATATCCGGCTTGGGGACATCGTCGTCGGCAAACCTGAAGGAAAATACGGAGGGGTCGTCCAGTATGATCATGGCAAAGCACTGCGAGGGCCGGCATGGCAGCGTAAAGGAATGTTGAATAAGCCCCCTGCTGTGCTCCTCTATGCGTTATCTCACCTGAAAGCACAACATGAAATGCATGGATCGGACATTCCCCGTTTGCTCGACGAACTCTGGAAGTCAACCCCTAGGATGAAGAATGGGACGAACGACAGCCCAGGATACGTCCATCAAGGATTTGAGCATGACCGGTTGTTTCAGTCCACTTATAATCATGTTCCAGGCAGCACGTGCAAAGATTGCGACCAATCTCAGGAGATTAAGCGCGTTGAAAGAGAAGATGCTGACCCGAGAATTCACTACGGGCTTATTGCTTCAGGGAATACAGTAGTCAAAGATGCTGTTTTCAGGGATGAAATTTCCGAGGTTATTGGGCAGGGCTGCATGTGCTTTGAGATGGAAGCTGCCGGTCTCATGGATAGCTTTCCCTGCCTTGTGATACGAGGCATTTGCGACTACGCTGACTCGCACAAGAACGACCGGTGGCAGAGATATGCTGCTGCGACGGCGGCTGCGTTTGCAAAGGAGTTGCTCGGCTACGTTCCAACTGCGCAGCTCAACGCAACACAGCGAGCTATTGAATTGCTTAGTTCAAGTTGGTCTATCCTGAAAATTGAAAATAGTCGCTGCTAATGGACCTGAAGTCGATGGTAGTGTGAAAAATATCGAGTCCTGTTCGAGGCAAACAAACGAAAATGTCAAAATGGCTTTGTAAGGAAAATAACACGAGGTTCTATAGAAATGAAACATTACCTAATATTTATCAAAGAGACGATGTCCATGAAAGCAATCAAAAGCAGTTGCTTGATAGACTCCCCGTTGTTGAAGATGCTGCCTTTGACTCGCATGCCGAGGAACACAACAGTACTTGTCTGAAAGATACACGGGTCGATGTTCTGCAAAATATAGACACATGGGCTGTTTCATCAGGCACACAGCAGATATTCTGGCTGAGTGGTATGGCAGGTACCGGCAAGTCTACCATAGCACGCACTATTGCCAGGTTATTCGCCGCGAAAGGTATTCTTGGCGCTAGCTTCTTCTTCAAAAGAGGCGAAGGTGATCGGGGCAATTCATCGAAGGTTATTACGACAATTGCAGCTCAAGTGGCAGAAAGATACCCAGCCATATCCCCTCAGGTTGCGAAAGCTCTTGAGAATGACTCCAGGATTGTTCACAAGGCATTACGAGAGCAGTTCCAGGAACTTATCCTGAAACCTCTACAAGCAAATTCACAGCACGTTGGGAAGAACTCCGACCCTATTGTCATCGTCATCGACGCCCTAGATGAGTGTGATTCAGCTGATGATATTGAGCTTCTTATCTTTCTCTTTTCTCGCACTGAGGGTTTACAATCCGTGCGGCTGAAGACTTTCGTTACCAGCCGCCCCGAGTTATCGACTCGTCAAACGTTTAGCCAAATGTCTGGCAAATACAACGATTTGATATTGCATACTATCCCACTGCCAGTAGTGGAGAATGATATATCTCTTTTTCTCTATCACGAGATCAAGGAAATCCGAGAAAAATATAATGCTTTAGTATCAAATCACCGCTGCTTGGCCACGAACTGGCCAGGCCAATCTACCGTCCGGACACTTATCAAAATGGCAGTCCCGCTGTTCATATTCGCTGCTACAATTTGTCGCTTCCTTAATGACCGTAGATGCGGGAATCCAGATAAACAGCTCGAAGAAATTCTTCGTTTCGAAACACGAAGCCAAGAGTCACAACTAGATGCAACATACTTGCCTGTTCTGGATCAGCTGTGGAATGGGCTTTCCAAAAAGCAGAGAAAGAACATGCTCGAGCAATTCCGGCTCATTATTGGATCTATTATCAACCTCGCAAGTCCCTTGTCGATTTCCTCTCTAAGTGCACTCCTTGACGTCCCGAGAGCGGACATCAATGACAAATTAGACCTGTTGCATTCCGTCTTAAGCGTTCCATCGTCACAAGATAAGCCTGTAAGGCTGCTGCACCTGTCCTTCCGCGACTTCCTGCTAGACCCTGATAAGCAGAATAGGAATGACTTTTGGGTCAATGAGAAGCAAGCCCATAGTGTGATTGCGAAAAACTGCCTTCGCGTAATGGATTGCCTTCGACAAGATATTTGCGATATAAAAGATGTCGGTACGCACCAGTTTACAATCAGTCGACGGAGAATAGATGATTGCCTTGCTTCAGAGGTCCAGTATGCTTGCCAATACTGGGTACATCATACCCAAGAAGCGGGAACATACGCCCCCGATAGTGGAATAGTGTATCGATTTCTCACTCAGCACTTTCTCCATTGGCTGGAGGCTTTAAGTCTTCTGGGCAAGGTATCGGGAAGTATCGACTTTTTAAATGTATTGAAATCGGTCTTCAAGGCAAGTAAGCCAAGTAAGAACCCTGGTATGCGACGCAGCTAACTTGCAATAAAGGACCAGAATAATACAACTCTATTAGCCTTGCTTGACGATGGCATGCGATTTTTGCCAGCAAATATTGAATGTATTCGTTCAACGCCGCTTCAGTTATATTCCTCACTTATTGTATTTGCGCCGCGCAAAAGTAAAGTCCGAGCTCTTTTTGAAAACGAAATTCCTCGCTGGATCTCCCTGAAGCCCAAGACAGATGGCGATTGGACTCCATGTTTGCAAACATTTGAGGGCGTAAACAGGGCCGTCTTCTCTCGCGATTCAACCCTGGTAGCTTCACTTATGCATAATGGAAAGATTCTGGTGCAGCGGGTAAATACGAGCGAATGTGTACAGGTTTGGAATACCCAATTTGGTAATGAGTTGTGCCCACCGATTGAGTTGATGTCCTTTTCACACGACGGGGAGCTCCTTTTGACAGTCTCTGCGACCGGGACAGCAAGAGCCTGGCGCATAAGTACAGGAGAGTGCACGCAGATTTTCGAAACAGGCCTGCCTTCCGGACCGTCATCATTCTCACATGATGCAAAGCTCCTAGCCTTATGTTGTAGACGTCGTATCGAAGTCTGGTGTGTAAAGATACGGAAATGCATTCAGACTCTCCCGTGCGGCGATGACTGGCCAGAGAGGACATTCTTCTCACACGACTCACTGCTATTGATAACGGTCCATAGGGAAACGATTCGAACGTGGCGCATAGATATAGGCGAGTGCATACAAAAAGTTAACGTACGTGATTTGGAGATTTGGGATAGCGTTTCGAGGCGTCGGGTCACTCTTTCACACGATGCAAGGCTTTTGGCTTGTCCCGGTAAGCGGGGAGGCAAAATCAAGATCTGGTGTGCAAAATTATGGAAGCTCAGAGACGTTCTTGTAGGCGACATGGACAAGAAGGCCGTAATTGCTTCGCTCGCGTTTTCGCATGATTCTGCACTACTAGCCTCAGGTTCTACCGATGGCAGTATACGACTATGGAGCGTCAATACAGGCGAGTGTATGCGCATTCTCAAAGGTCATCTGGAACCCGTCGGTTGGGTAGCTTTTTCGCATGACTCAACCATGATACTCTCGATTAATACTTCTATGGATACTATTCTACGAATCTGGCACACAAATTTGAGCGAGCGTGTGCAGGTCCTTAAACACCATAAAGGCCCAGTCTACGAGTTGATACTCTCACCTGATTCAAGGGTAATAGTCACAAAGGCTGTAGAAGACACAATCATACTAGTTTGGAGTACAGAAAATGGCAAGTCGCATGCATTAAGGGGTCATCAGGGCTTCATCGGGTCCGCAGTCTTCTCGCACGACTCTGCGCTGCTCGCTTCAGCCTCCGACGATGCAACACGCATCTGGAGGGTGACAACAGGCGAGTGCATACACACACTCCAGGGGTATGTCGACTCTTTATGCTTTTCTCATGATTCGAAGCTCCTAGCCTCAGGCTCCCATGCTGGAACGATACGGATTTGGCACACAGATAAAGGACAATGTATGCACACTCTTCAAGGATTACAAAATAGGAGGTATATCGGGAACATTGCGCGGCTGGTGTTCTCGAATGACTCGACACTCTTGGTATCGTCCGATTGTGAATCGGTTCTTTCATGGCGAGTTGACACAGGCAAGCTCAAAGACGTCCTGGAGACGGGTGGTATATGGCCTGCAATAGCTCTCTCGCATGATTCACAACTGGTGGCCATAGCCAAACACCAAGCAGAAAATTTCATAATCATTCGACGTTTGAATACGGGCAAATATGTGCATAGTTTCCCTATCTGCGGTGGAAGGATTGACGAGTTGATCTTTTCTCACGACTCACGACTGCTAGCTGTAACGGATGACAAGGGGACTGCTGGAATTTGGCGCATCGATACAGGCGAGTTACTGCAAGAATTCCATTTGGGGAAATTCACCAGAGTGCTATCTTTTGGAAGAGATAGCAGGCAACTAATAACCAATCATGGCGCCTTGATGCTGCAGGGCATATCTCCTATGCGACAGGGTCTCTTGGACTCAGTCAAAGGTTCCATACGTGCACAAGAGACTCCTTACTCTGTAGGAGAAGATGGTTCATGGGTCGAATTGAATGGACAGAAGTTGCTTTGGCTGCCACTTGACTATCGCCCTACGTGTTGGGCGGTTTTAAAATCTACTATTGTGTTGGGATGCAAGTCTGGGAAGGTTGTTATTATCAGGTTTGCTAGTGATGAAGATTCAGAATCCCCAGGTCCATCTTTCCCGAATGAATATACCCCTTGGCAAAGAAGTAGACTACTCAAATAGCTCATCGAGTCATTAGTCGCGGAAGAGTGATTCGTTTAAGAAACTAAATATAGTTTTAATGATATATACAAACGTGAAAGTAAATTCCAGGGTTTTCTGCGATGCGACCATCATGTCTAGTTCTCAGAAAGACCCTCATCGGCCCAAAGGAAAGCTCACCCACGACTTAAGTCTCCTGCCTTGAATGTTTCATGAATTCACGTCCTCGGTCCAGTCAACATATCACATTAAGCATTAAGACAAGCTTGAATCAGCTTGTTTCCCCCGAAGAACTTTGCCGCCTTCCTCCGCATTGTGAGTTCCTTCCGGAGAACAGATTCGTCCTTCTCTGCAAAATTCGGTAAACAAACGGAAATCTGCGTATGGAATTTCAGGTGATAAAGCTCATTATGCCTTGTATATTACATGTAGCTCTGGATCACGTGCTATAAGCTGGATGGTCCCCAAAAAGCCTCGATCTCAAGCGTCGTCGTCCAACAATCAGCGACACCGGGGGCGAACGCCTAGAGCCGACTTGCGATATTGCAACTGCTTCGGCAGTTGCAAGTTCGCTACTACTGTTACAGAACCCGGTTTCTGGTTTAGGGGTCCCCTACTTGGGAATTTTCGCGCATTTGGCTCCTGATTTAGCAACGTGGCCCCAACGACTCAGGGAGCGATCAAAGAGGCCTTGCTTCCAAGAAGCCGCATAAAATACTTCCACTTAACTCAACCTAACTAGCTCTCAAATGACTAATTCCGGAGAATTATCAAGCTTGGTTTTCGCAGTGGCTGAACCATTATAACTTGCGACGAAGATACAGTTGTAAGTCATGCCGCTTATTTCTTGAGCACGTTCAGCACTTCGACTTCATGCATGGCTGTCACCACCAAGCAGAAACTTCCCAATATTATTCGACCGAAACAGAGCCGCTCACTCCTTTCATTTCGCTCTAAAAAATCGCAGCGCTCGATGCAGATGCCAGTAGCGAGTTCTATTGTTCACATATTATCCGCAAAGCGAATCCAGCACCTGGAGGATGCTTACTTCTCCGTGTCCCAATTAATAAGTTTCGATTAAAGGGACCAAACGGTGAGCATTTGTGCCTTGTTTCTCAGCTAAGAAGAGAGACACTCTTCCACCTCTAACGTAGACTTGGCAAGGAAAAGCTGCCACTTTCCTCGCTCAAATTCTTCATCTATTGTCCCTTTTGGGCTATAGTTTTGTCAATACTCACCACGTTGAGGCCACTGGTAGCCAGGAAGTCTACCAGACCCTTCATAAAGCGGCTTTGGCCCCTTATCAAGGACTAAGGTGTTGCCTATGCTGGCTGATTTCGATCAGGCGTACGAGGGTCCCGGTAGTAGTCGCCGAATAAAGCCACCTAACAGCCTCGCCAAGACTCACGACACGGCCCCATTAAAGTCGGACATTCAATACAGTTAAATCCGTCTATCGACAACCTTCTAGATAACCTATAGCATCTATAAAAAGGGTTCATCTGATTTATCTCGCTAGAGAGCTTGAACACCGGGACTTGACCTTTATTTGATGCAATCTACGGCTTTCATCCGTGATAGATGCACTGGCGTTCTGTCGAGGATTTGAGATGCTCTTCGCCTTACAGTTGAGCTTTCTCTCGACGCAGACCTCGATTTGTGACCAGATATAAAATACTTCAAGCTCATACAAGCAATCGGTCGTGGCTTTGTCACAAGTTCCTTCGTCGACTCCCCTCCCTGTGCAGACGCTCTGCACTCTCTCCTCAATAAGATCTATAAATACCTTCCAAAATGCAGGCTACAATTTACCATAATATTAGAATATTAATATTATATAAAAGGTCAGGATCTGGTTTTACTATTTACTTACAGAGCCTTTTAGTTCGGGTCGAAAGCGGCAAGACAATTGGGCCTAATATAAAGCTTTAAATTTTGGTCTAGGCCGCCTTACTAGCAGGTTACTTACTACTTGGCCACCAAACTTCTGCGTATACAACGAGAACAGGCACTTAGTGCACTGTAAAGCATTATATAATATTAGTATAAAATATTATAGCTATTTTACGAGGGAATAGTAGCTAGAATGCTTACACCGCCTAGTTTACCACAAATTTCTGAAAGCTGGTCGACCGTAGTTGTACCCTGAATTAAGTTTTAGTATATATAAAGTCCGTAAAGAAGAAGTCCCCTTTTAACAGAGAATCTTACATTTTCAGCCTATAAATTGGATGGCTACTCATTCCCTCATAACTGCTTGGGCTGAGCCAGGACTAGCGCTTTGCGGTTGTGAACAGAACTGTGTCGTCTTGTCCTGCATGGTTGCCGAGATATGCCGGTTTGGAGTATGCATACCAAGTTGTCGACACTGGGTCCAGCATATTGACAAGATGTAACATAAGGGAGCAAGTTTTGAGATGCTTCCCAGCGAGCAGCGTACTTTGTTGTGCGAGAGCTTCTGTCAGAATGACTTGCAAAGTCTGACAAGTTCCCTCCTGGGAGCATGCACTGAATCTTCCGACGTCATGATTCCCGACAAGTTCACCTGCGCAGGTGAGTTCTCAATTCGATAACAGCCCTGGAGCGATTGACCAACTATCTAATATTTTGTCAATTTTCCTAGTTCACCATTTTCTTTACGCGGCGAGTCTGCCATGTCTGAAAGACAAGTGAGTCTCCTCATACTTAGTTAATCCCCGCCCTTTGCTGAAATTGACCCTGGGGGCGCCCGGAACATATTGCGACGCTGTTGTGGCTGATTGGGCCAGCCAACCGAATTACACCAAGCTCAGACGTGTTCTCAGTGCGAGATGGGCGTTCAGCAGATACAGCTGGCGTCACTGTTTGGGTTCAGCGACACGCTTCAACCAGGCATTTACTTGGCCAACCATACTTAACACTCTGTAGTCAAGGTCGAGGCTGCCGACTATTGCGCTGCCATGCGACTACTGCGTACCCGTGAACCGCATGCGGATACCAGTCTCGTCAGTTCAGCCTACGGGTTGTAGCTGCTACAAAAGCTTCCGCATCCAGGACAAGGGTTGGATAGCTTCTTCCGCGATTGTCTGGCCAGTGTTTGCATGCTGACTTTTCCTGCAGCCAACTTCAACTACTCCATGGCTCCCGGTCTGTTCGGCATCACGGTGGCGGAACCAACCAGACTGAATCCCTGGATTGGATCCAACTGCGATATCTGACTCGAGTGGTCCGGAAGGAGTTGGTAGTGTGGACCTGGCGATCATTCCATGCGGCAGAAGGAATGGACAGGCCTGTCGTATTTCCGTAAATATTATGTAGGTGCTACAGTAGGAGCTAGAGCGTAAGCTCGTTCGCAGCTTAAGCCTCCTGCCTCAATGTCCTACAAATCCACCCTCGTCCTCGGTTCCGTCAATGTAAGGGGGTCTCACATACTGGTCATCCCAGTCACCTTTTCCGAGCAAGTCATACTTGTAAAGGTATTCCTGCAGTGGCATGTACACCCAGCCCACATCTTCCTCGTGGTACTCTGTGGCACCATCATGGAACGGGGCGGGAACTGTATAGTTCCTCTCCTGTGGGGGTAATGGGGACTCCCAGTTCTTGCGCAAAAGCTTCACAACTGGCGAGTTGACACCGAGATGGTCCACGGACTCGAGGCAGACATCATCCACAAAGAGACAATATTCGTATCTGGGCGTGGATGTTGCGTGTACCCAGTCCACGTCGTTCTGCGGGTTAGTAGCGTCCGGCCGGAGACGGTCCTCAAGGTTCTTTGGGACCCAGGACTGGAAGTGATCTCGGACTTGGTAAGACGTGGCTCCGCTAAGGACAGCCGTTAGTGGTGGCAGACGTAACATGGACGTGTTGCAAAACGTACTAGAGTGTCTTATCGTCGATGGCGTGAAGATGATGGAATTTCAACACATCTTGGCGCATGTAGAACCTGGCATCTTCCTGGACCTTTCTGCGCAAGGCTTGCAGCAGGCGATCCCAAGCTGTCTGCTTGCCTTGAGAGCACCGATATATCTAGACGTTATTCGTTTAGACCATGTTAAGAGGAGAGTGAGGAGTATGTCTTACCACGAAACCCTAGATCGAATCGTGAAACTCGGTGCACGTCATAGTCGATTTAATATGGTCAAAGTCGATGTCCGGGCTCGACGTGTAATCGAGGTAGGTTTCGGTCCAGGAGATGCGAGAAGGTCCTGCGGGGCTACTGCTCATCATGGCTCGAGGACGACAAATGCAATCAGCTTCGCTCCGTCCTGTTGCTGCATGGCGCGCCGTATGTGTGAAGGTTGTGAATGCCGACTTTGAACGATTCCAGGCGGCGCGAGAGACCTGTCGCAAGGCTCTGCCTCTAGTTGCAGTGCGTTGCAACATGGAAGGATTGGGATCATCGAGGGGCGAATGAGATCTGGTTGTGCGGGAAAGGGGGTAGAAACGAAGGAAAAGGCGAAGTCCTGTGAGGTTGTTGGTCACCTGACTTCTGGCTCTCTCTCAGGCAAATTCAATCCCTGTCTGCGTAATCACGGCCGATAATCGCTTACCAATAAAAGCATACTTACTTGGAAGAATATTTTGTGACTGGAGCAGGCACTGAGAGATACGTGAATGGCACTTATCGAGGACTAATAAGACAGCTCAAGACAGATCTGGAAACAAGAGCTTATAACGGCCGGTAATTGGAATGGATTCAAGGGGATGTCTATCGGAAGTAGTTGTCAAATGAGCCTTTGGCTTCTCAGCCTGGAGGGAATCAGTAACTATATGCTTTTACAGATGTCGCCTTTCTCGGAGACCGGCCATTCATTACAGATATCCATATGGTGGCCAATTCGAGTGCATCATAACACACTAAGATATCTGATACTATTTGGGGCGGTCGTCCTTCCGACATACTAGGCGTCCTTGTTAGACTCCAGTCCAAATCCGTGTAATAACATTGTGATTGACTCAACCTTGACAACAGGGGGCGTATCGAGGCCATGTGACTTGCGGCCTTGGGCAAAATGACTCTCTTGCAATGCTTCTACGACTTTGTTGGGCTAAAGGAAGGCTTCAAGGACACATGGTAAAATATTGCGAGGGAATCAAAGAAAAACAAAGACTGGGCATGTGTCTAGAATCAGCTAAGACCTTGATGGCGGCGGGCGTAATTATCTACGTCATATTTCTGACCAATAAGCAGATTCATCCCAGTCATATTAAACAATCGAGAGCTGGAAATATATAACGTTAAAAAACGCGCTTTAATAAGATTGTACTTGCACTTAAGAAGCCTACACGTATTATAAGTCAATCTTCGCCCCATTAGAGGTGTCTTGGTTCGGTAGCCACATAACTATGAACTGGTAATAAGATATACAGGTCTCATTTATGATCAAACCTTATAGCATAGCTGTCACAATCTCCGTATTAAACAGGGCAACTTACGAAAGCTTTATTCTCTGCGTGCGGCTATAAATACTCATCAATTGTAGAGCTGGCTTCAGCACGTTATTCAGCTTTACAGATTTCGGACACAGGCTTGTTATGGCTAGAGTAGTTCTGTTTTCCACTAATACCTATTTTTCATAGTCCGCGCAGCTGCCTCTCTTTAGCGAGCTTGGTCACTTGTCCTGGAGGCGGAGGAAACACATGGTATACGGAGGACAGCGTAAGCGCCATAAACTGCTGCTTTACAACGAGTTGCCGTCTCCCAACATGGCGTGTACCATACATTTCACCGCTTACATCGGGGGTAGATAGCCTCAGGACATTATATTGGTGAGTAATGGCTCCCGAAACGCATGTCATCTAGCCTTTATAACTCTTAATACCATAAACGATGGTGCAAGCTTAATGGCCCCTGAGCGCGTGACCTATAAAATTGCCGCCGACGACAGCTACAGCTGATACTCCCTCGCCGGACGTGGTCCTTCCAAGAAACGTTCACTATCTACCCGAACCATTCTGCATATACCCAGACCATCTAGGACGCTGTATATCTTCACCAAGGGGCCTACAATGTGTTCTCTCGTAATCCTGGGTTTCGAAAGGCTTGAAACATCAAGCAGTGGTGTGACGGCATAAACCACGTAGTCAAGTCCCATTCTCCAACCCCCCTTGCTGCTTTGTACAGGTTCCTGGGTATCTGTCCCGGTACCTCTTCCACCACTGGGTATTTGACCTCTGAGGCATCAGCCCCCAACTGACCATTGACTGCTCTTCCGCCTCTGACATGGCCATCCTAGCATAGGCTGGGCCACGAGACCATGACGGATCACCCATTTCTACCTCAAGCCAAAGCCTCTTGCCAATGGCTTCTCGCCGGTCTCCCACATGGATCGCCGTTAAATAAGTGCTGCTTAAAAGTGCCACAATGGATAGTATCTGGTTGAATAGAGTGGTCATACCCAAGGAGACGGCGTGTGTACCGAAAGCTCCCCAGGCCGCAGCCCTCCAAAAAAAGTAAATCTTGGGGTGTAGAGGATGAGGGTCAGTCAGTATGACGCCCACTAAAACCTGACGCGGCCCCAGTATCGTTACTGCTTTGCCATTCGGGAGAGTGAGAAAGACCTTTACGTCTGGCCCCGGGTTGTCGGCCAAGTCTTCCACTGCCTTGTTGACTGACGAACGCAGCATAAGCACCATTTGTTGTCTTATGAGCACATTCAAGCAAAGAGCAGTAACGTTCGCTACCCCCCACCAGTCTGCTGTCATTATGGTCATGATGAGAAGGAGTCCACAGGTGAATAGTCCGATCAGGAGCGAGCATATTGTTCGTGCGGTCGGTACGGGTTTGTCATTCGTCTTCAAGTGGATTGTTGTAGCACTGTATGTTATGGGATAAGATGTTAACCAGCGAGTGAACCAACTGGACACGTCCGTTGCCATGATACCGTCGGTGATGTTATACAGAACAAACCCCTGTTCCGGTTCTGCAATCTCGTTGTTGGCGACAGCATAGGATCCCAAAATTGGGAGCCACTCCGTGAACTTGCTTTCTGTGAGGTTGCCAATAGACGTGTTCATCTCCTTGGCCCCAAAAAGAGTCACTAGACCAAGAGCGTCCAGCTTGAAAGGATCCCATTGTGAAAGACTTAGAATGGCCATAGTTTCCACACAAGTTGGAAAGGGGTTTCAGAAAGAACAAGAGTAGAGCCTGCGGGCGCTGAAGCCGACAAGAAGCCTGGTGTCGTAGTTGGAGAAGATGGAGAGGGGGGCTCGAAACTGTGGGCAGCCTGGGAGACACACGAATGTTTATGCACCAATAGTATTAGCTACTTCATCTCAACTCTCATGTTGTGTCTCTCGTGTTGTGCAACCCTGGCCGAATCACTCAACCGGCCAGTGTGACGAGACGTGACAGCTCATCCTGCATAAGATAGATACACAACATGACCTTGTCCTTTAATTTCCGGTCCATGTGGTAATACAAAAAGTCCTAGGTCGCCGGACAAAAATAGCAAAGAGCCCAACACAGCCTCAACCCAATTTCGACCCAGGATCTGGCGTCTCGCCGTTCATTCCCTTCATTCTAGCTCAGATCTTCCGGTTATTCTACACTAGCTACACTTTAACTTTCCGTTTGTTTCGGATCACGATTCAACTTTGAGCACAAAGATTGCCTTTATATTATTATTGGAGTGCATCTGGCCCCTTATTCTGCACGATGTCCACAACTCCACAAACATCGAAGCTCCCGCTGGGGCGTATAAGGGATTCATGCGATCCTGGCTCCTTTTCTTTGAGTCTGAGCTCAACCACACAGGATGCTTTGATGTCATTATTTATCCACATATTAAAAATATTCAAGCATCGCAAAATCTTTGAGGATGCCCCTTCGTTCTTCGTCGTCTACGCATGGGATCAAAAAAGCCACCCTGGTCTTCCTGCGGACTCGAGTATAGTTCATGAAATGATTCAATGGTTTGAAGATGCTGGCTACAGTACTATGTACTCGGATAGCACCCCGCCGAGCGAGAAGGCCGTTATTGATGGCCAGCTTCGTTTATTGCCCATTGCGGCTTACCCCGATTCCGTTCAAAATGTCATCCTATGTGGCTCTAAACTCCTGGGACACTACATGGCAGGGAGGTACTTCAAAAAATATGCTTCAAAGATGATACAGACGTACCACGAAGCCCGCCAGAACGAGACAAAAATTCCTATATCACAAATTCTTCGTGGTGTCCAGCAAAAGTACGAGAGAACGGCATCAAGGAAGTTTCATCACGTTATGACGGAGTTGGCCCTACTTGACATCCGAAACGCGTACAATGAAAAAAGTACAGTTATTCCTTACCTCCTCAATGGAGACCCCCAATCCTGCCTACCGAAGTACATCACGATCGGAAGCGATAACCTTCGAGTGCAACGCGGTGTCGATGGATCGAAGTATGAGTGTTTCTTCGAAATATTAGGGAAGCTCGTAGGTTCATCAAACCGCAAGTTTGACCCTGGGCCGCAGCATTTGATACCATCCATGATTGAAATCTATAAAAGAGCGGCTACTGAATTGACTGATATGGACCGTGTCCCTGAAGGGTTTCTTGAAAGGTATCAAAGTGAAGCTAACAGAGCTTCTGATGATTTTTCAAGTGCTCAGAGGCAAAACCCGAAAGGCATGGGGGTTTCTGCTGTGAGGGAGGCACTGGACGCTTACCATTCAAACATCATGTCTATCGAAAGGGTGTTTGGAGAGACGCTGCCGTTACGCAAACACCACATCAAACTAGCCAAGATTTTCGATTCTACCGAGTCAGACACATTCTCTGATGAATCTACTTCCGTCCGCCTGAATAATATTTTCAATGACACAAAGCTAAAGGGGGGGGGTGTCGGACGGCCAAAGCGCATACTCATCCACGGTCGCCCAGGGGTGGGCAAGACCACTCTATGCAAGCAAATAATAGACGAGTATGGCAGAAAAGAAGTTCTTGGAACCATGTTTTCCTGGGTTCTCTGGGTGCCCTTACGTAAGCTGGGGCTGGATGATTCACTCAAGAGCTTCTTCCGTTTAGAATACTTCCACGGCAAACTTCACGAAGATCTGCTGGCAGAAAAGCTTTATCAGCAGGTATTCGGGGAAGATAAAGAAAAGACCCTGCTTATACTTGACGGTTTAGATGAGTCAAGTGGATGGGAAGAGCGCAACATCAGCGAATTGGCCCAATTCAAAAGTCTTATCTTCACAACACGTTCCGGTAGGGGGAAGGCTGGCTCAGCGGTTTACACTATTGCCGACCTCGAACTTGAAGCTATGGGATTCAGTAAGTGGGAGGCATTGAATTATATTGGCTCCCAAATAGCCATAAAATCTCCGGAGACTGTCAATGATATCCGGTCCTTTGTTGCAAGCCCGCCTGGTTTCGACTTAGCTCAAACACCGATCTGCCTAGATATCCTGTGCTCGAGCTGGGACGATTTGCGTCTGGTGACGCCATCTAATGAAATCATTAAATTATCCGTTTTATATGAAATCGTTGTTGCTAGGCTCTGGCGGCGAGACATTCTTCGCCTCGGAAAGCGTGACCCGTCTACCGGTTCCGTTATGACAAAAGACATTCTTGACGCCGTTCGAGATTTCAGTCGCTTACACCGTCTTATCTACAAGGAAATGGCTTTCCTCGAAGCCCTTGCCATATCTTTGACCAGAGAGGGTAAGATCGAATTCGGCCATGATGAGATCACCGCCACTATTCGTCAGGTGGAGCGCGATACTATGCTGTTGCCACTATCTCTAGAGTATGACCTACGAAATCTCTCATTTCTGCACTCGGATGGCTGTGGTGGGTACAGTTTCATTCACCGGACATTTCAAGAATATTTCACTGCCCTCTGGATCTCTCATAATGGACCGTCGTTACGTGGGTATTTGGCAAGTCATAATAAATATGCCCCTGCATTTGAGAGAATTTGGCAATTCATTGCAGGCTTTATACAAACCGAAGAGGCCCTGGAGGAATTTTTTGACTTGATTGAATCGGAACCAGTAGACGTCCTCGGTCCTGCTCATCAATGGCTACTTCTGTGTTGCTTCAATGCAGTGCGCCATTCGCTGCGGCTACCGACTCTCAATAAGGTTCTACACAGATTGGCCCGCTGGATGGAATTCGAATGCGAGATCTCAACAAATTCCTTCCTTAAACACTGCTATGAGTACCCAGATGAAGTAATCGAAATCTTCCTGAGCAACTCTACATCAAGATGTGCCCGGCGCATTCTCAACAGTGCTGGCCGTATGTTTTTGTCGCCAATGATGCTCGATCTTCTCATCAAAAGGGTTAATAGTGAGAGCCTGGATGCTCATGCTTTTGCTCTTGCACTTTTATACACCCAGCAACATCAGTTTTCACTTGAGTCTTCTCAAAAGCTCATCCTCAGATTAGCGAAAAGAGATGATGACACTGGGTATGGTAACACCGCTACGCTACACAAACTGTCCGATTCATCAGTTGTAATAGCCAAAAGTTTACTTTACATATTCAAATACGCACATGAATTGAGTCAAGACATCACTGTCGGTCACCTATTCAGCTTATGCGTATACTTGAATTATAGGGTAGATAGCTTCTTAGCGGCGACATTGTCAGGTTGTATGACTCTTCTTGAGGATAAGGATGAAGCTATTCCGGTACGGATCGCCGCAGCGGACATGCTACAGTCAAATTATTGTTTGTCAGATGAAACTGTTAAAAGCCTGGCAGAAATGCTTCGAGACTCAAACAAAACAGTTCGATACTCTGTCATCCGTGCCATGAGATGTCAACATTCCTTTTCAGTGGATACCATTGAAATCCTCACAACTATCATGAAGGATGATGACGAAGATGCCCGACACGCAGCAACGCTTGTTTATTACAGCTACTCAACATTTTCAGGGTCGGATATTGCAGCTCTGGTGGCTCTGGTCTGGGATTCAAATGCCAGTATTCAGAGTACGGCTGCTGTGGCTCTAGGGGGGTTGTCAAGCATACCAGACGATGCCGTTGCAGCCCTCGTCAGTCTGCACAATCATCATAATAAGGATATCCGGGCTTCCACTGCGAAGGCGTTAGGCAAATATTTGCAAAGGATGTGGTTAACGGGATCGCGACCCTCTGGGGATGTTGAAGCAGCACTTATCATCTTACTCGAAGATCCAGTAGATTTTGTTCAAATGGAGGCGGTTTGGGCGTTAGGCAGCACCGACAACTTATCACAGAAGACTACCGCGGTCCTCAAGTCCAAAATTTTGGGTGAACCAAATATCAAGAAAGCCGACATTATGGAAGTCTTTATTAGACAGCTGAAGCCCAACCTCACGTTCGCCGAACTTGTGGCTTTATTAAAGATTATACCTGACGATTATAGGAGTACTCTTTACATCCTCCCTTTCCTTTTTCTTTCAGAGGAATTATGGCGGCATAAGACAAGGTCGCTTCTGGCCCAAATCGGAATCCATGATCCGATCACTGTTACAAGGTTTGGACAGACTGATTGGACAGACTACATGAATGAAGTTGTCTTGAATCTTTGTATGAAGTATAAAAGCCTTGGAGAACATTTTTGGTACAAATTTCAAGCACCTCTTCATTGTCAAATCAGCCTATCACGAGCGAATATGCAGGGAGTTCTGAGGGTACTGCAGGATTCTTCTGGATTTGCATCCCGAATGTTACAGGCTGAAATATTAGCACAACTGTCAACTTGGCCTAACGATGTTGTCGAAGCCGTAATGGAATACTTTCAGGATAAGGAACATCTACATGACTTTTGTTATTGTGCAGCTAACAACAACCGAGAGTTGTTAAACAAGCTACTTTCAGCTGCGGGACTATTATCGGAGGCCGAAGAAAGAGACACACCGGAGGGAAAGGCTGTTCTTAACCCCTATATTCTTAAATCCATATATGGAGTCTTATTATTGCGCGGCTTTAATGAGCAACTCGTCTTATTCATCGACCACGAATACGGCGAATGCGTGCTCTATGATCAGGGTATACCCAGGGCAGCATGGCTAGAAGAAACACTCGAAACGGCATCAATAGAAGAAAGAAGACAGCACTGTCCATATTATACCGCAATTCGTGAGATTCGAGAACGCTGGAACCCAAGAGGTCTTGACCTGTGGGATTGATCTCAAGACACGTCAAGATACCGGAGATACTCAGTAGTGTTGATGCACGCCCGACTGTTCGAGTTCCCACGAAACTACGAAGAAGAAGATGAGTCCTGGCCAAATCGACCAAATTTCGACTTAATTTGGGAGAATTGAAACATTGTGAAGGGATTATTGTTGATTCAGACCTGGGCCGTCTCTCTCCTTCGGTGGTATTCTATCAAATTGATTATTTGTTTTCCTTATACTCTTATCAAGTCCTACCTGCTTCTAAAATCCTATTTTCTCTATTCGCACTCGGGTATAAGTATTTCTTTAGTTTCCTACGTCTGTGACGAACCTCCCTAGCTTTCAGTCTATATTTGCAAGAAGACCTCATTACTTTGGTCAACACACCAAACTACGATGTAGAGGCATCATTGCATCTCATTATGTTAAGCTCGTGAATCATGTCATTTCTGGGCTTTAGAGATATCCCATTGTCAGTAACCTGGACTCGTATCATATCTTCCACGAAGCCTCCCGACAGTCTTGATTCGATCCCTTCACGGCAGCAACAAGCATCACAGCTTGCGAATCGAAGACACTCCAAGGGGTGTTCTATTCGCCGCCACTTAGTTTGTTGTTAGTTTCGAACGGAATGGAATGGTGGTAAGCGGATATCCTCATATAATGTGTCAGACGAGGCGAGTCTAACGAAATGAGGGACAATGCCTATTGAACAGCACTGGACTCCATACTCTCAAGTAAAACCACATAGAGAAAACTCGACGAAACTATGACAAGACAAAAAGTACCCTAGTGATATTCACATCCACCTGTTTTATTCCTTCCACCGGAATATCCATTCAACGACCGGCCGCCAAGGTAGCCGCCGTTCTACAGAGTAGCATTATCAACATGACCTAGTCGATTTCCCTTGTACTTTCTAACCCTAGGCCTCGCAGAACGCCGTAAGGAGACAGCAACTTTGAGTTCCTCATACCAAGGGCCTCATTCCGACGCCGTTACAAGCCATTTATCCGTAACACGCAATATTCCCCGTCGCCTAATACCAGTTTGTCGTGTCTTCATTTCCATTTCCCTTGTATCCTACGCAAGTCTCCCGTTTATATCGCCATCCGAAACACCACGGCACCAGCATCCTCCTGCTCCTTGGTAGCGTCGAAAACCACCTTTTCGACACTCACGCAACCAGCCTGTTCAAGAAGAGACGTAAGCAACCGGTCAACAAGCATACTCGGACACGGACAATACTCACATCCACCAGGAGGCTCGCCTAATCTTCAGCATCGACCAAGGTCCATCATTTCCAATTTTCTGCTTAGAGCCTCTGTAGACTTGGAGCTCCAGCGCGGCCTTGATCCCAGGGTCGAACCGGTCGAAATTCGCAGCCCTCGCTTTCCGCACCGTCCCATTTTCGCTGTCTGGAATTGGTACTCAGGTTCAGATCGCTTCACGACGTGTCGCCGTGCCGGGACGTAGTGATTGTTACTGATTCCGCTCGACGTGCTCACCCTCTCTCGCAGGGCGTCACGTAGCTCCAGAATCCGCGAATACCTCTCTCTCCTTGGCGGCCATTAGGAAGTTCATGTATATGTCACAGTCCAGCACAATTTCTTTGTCGAAACACTCGGTGAAATCGTCAGGTCCAAGCGCACGACACCAATCCAGCACTTCTGCCTGGTGTACGAGTCGCCATGCTTTCTCGTCGTCAGTCCCGCCGAGAGCTGTCTCGACAGCCACTATAAAGAGACCGGTGGACTCGAACCCGTCAAGGATTTCCGGGTGTAAGGAAATATAGTCACGACTGGCGTGGGGGCCGGAGGGTAGGATATTGGCAAACTCCATGGCGGCTGCGGAGGGTGAATCTTGACCTTTGTGTTTTGGGAAGAGCGCCTCGATGCCGTTGCAGGTGTCTGGTGCGGCGGTTGTTTGATTGGGGTCGCGGTTCGGGTTCAGTAGCTCTGGTTTGTCTGTCTTGCCCGGCTTCGCCTCGCTCGCATGTGGGCTGTCAAGTGGTATGTAGTAGTTTTCCATTGTCGTCTTCATACGATGTTCCTCTTCTAGGCGGTTCATCTTCAGGCATAGTTCATTTCCCGACTCCTGAATACATGGATCACAAGCACGAAGAGAACGTTCAAGCTGGTATTTGTCTGTTTTCTCTTCCATAGATCTCAAGGTTCCCAGAATTGCGCTTGACCTGATGGACAGACACTGGCTCTCGTCAAGTGCTCCTTCAGGCCGCGGCAGTCGACCATTCTCGCTGGCTTTGCGCGACGCCAAGTTGACGACGGCCTGTAATGTAGTTTGAGCCTGGTTATGGATCTGCCGCCTCGTTTTGACTAAATCGTTCCAGTGTACCATGAGTATGTCGTTGATGGCACATTCCTCTTTCAGAGCGTCGATCTGCTTCATCCGTCCTCGTCCATCTTGGTCAATCTTTGCCTGCATCTCTCGCATCGCTCTTCGAAAAGAAGGCGAATCCATACGAAGATCGAGATTAATTTGGGTGTAGTTGCTTACTTCCCACTCGCCCTGTCATACCAGCAGTTAGCGCTCCCGCCATACCATACAGTTGGCCAAGGACATACCCGTTTCTTTCCGTCAGCCATTTTCGTATCGTGGATGGCTGTTTAGCGATATGGAAGGAGATTGTTCACTATCAATAGCGAGTTGGGCATAAAGCTCGGTGGAGAAAGACGATGTGTCGAGGTAAAAGATTAGAAATGGACCGCGGCCGCGCCACGGTCTTTTCAATGTTGTGCCGCCCTGCATCCTGGTTGTCACAAGCCAAAAACACAAGTTAGACAACTAATGAACAGAGTCTGGAGAGAAGGTCATCTCTTTGTGAACACACGTGATGGCCGCCATGGCGGTGCCGTCCAGTGGTCAAAGCCTTTGTTCGCCCAACGCCTCTGTGGCCCAACCGCGTGACAACTGCAGAGAAAGAGCGATGAATCTCAGAGGCAAATACTGCAATCAAGGGAGACTGGACTCTTCTTCTGCGAGTGACAGCCAATGAAGGTGTCTGGACCTGGGAAGAGTTCAGTTTAGTTGGCGGCTTTATCCGACGGCTTAGATTGCCCAATCATATCAAGTTTTAACATGAAGAATTATTCGATTGCGGAGAGCGGAGCCCGCGTTTTTCCCCATTAATAGAAAGGGGGCCAAACAAGCAGCTGTCTTGGGACGCAACTTGCGGCTTTGCCTCTGCAAACTAATACACGAGGTCGTCCCCAAGAATCAAATTGGTTAGGATGAAGGCCTTCTCGAGAACTGGACAATACAGGGGGGGTTTCAGCTCACTCAGGTGCCAGTGCACAGTGAACCGTGAATATTCGACAGAATTGTACATATCCCTGTGAATTATCGCAGCTCTCTACGCTTTCTCTACCCCTACGTCCACACGTCGTTGGCATCGGGGTCTTGCGAAGAGGCATCTACTCTAGGCGTATTTGCAACCAGAATCCCAGAATAACCCAGGGCGTTGCTTCAATGTTGGATTGTCTGAATTCCTGGGTATACAGTAGTCTGTTCCAATCATGTGTTGGTCCGTTGCCGGCAGTCCCTCGATTTATGGCGCTTCACATTCTGCAAGGATCAGCATCCTGCCGACGCCATCCTCAGACCCAGAAGCTGTCACAAAGCATATTGCCAGAATCTCGTCATGTTTGTCGCTAATCTGGCGCCGAGGGTTGTCCGGAATCAGTGTCTCACTGGGTGATTCTTCTCCAGAACGTGACGAGTTGAATGCCAGCATGTTGACCAAGCCGTCATGCTATTTCAAGCGCACCAATACTTTCAGCTTCTGAACATTTGATTGGCATGCAGCACTCGTGCATCGCCCAACGAGGATACAAGCTAGCTGTCGGAGCAGATGCAGATTCAGCGTTTCCACTTCATAGCCACTCTCCATGTCCCATATTTGGATGGGACAAATCTACCGAACCTGACGCCAAGCGAGACCCGTTCGGTGAGAATGCAGTACATGGCATATACCCGCAGTACCGTCTTCTTTCCACTTTATTTCACCAGTTCCAGCATCAAGCATGTGCGGGCGATGTTGGGGTCTGGTCCATGCGCCAGATATTTGTACCCCCAGGAATATGAGCCTGCACTGAGCCTTTGTTTAACGGCGTCTGGTGAGGCATCTGAAGTGTGACAAGGGCCAGATACAAGGGCTTGGAGCGTAAATGACTCTATTCGAGATGATCTTGTAGAATGTCAAAGGTCCTTGGTTTTCCAGAAGGAGGTAGGGACGAGTGACCACCATATATACATGAAGCGAACAGCTGTGCCCAAGGCTTCCGGCGGGTCATGTGTTTAGTCTGCGTGACCTCGAGGTCCTTTGTCGGCGATGCCCCTTTGTTGGGCCTTTGTTGTTGTTGGGCCCTTACCATGTACTAACAGAAGCATTACACATCTCCGAACAAGACCCAAAAAACTGCCACCGCAGCAGCGAACATGGCGGACTCGGTGCTGGAATGTGCAGTGGATCTGCACCGTTTCGGTGCTTCTCTCACAAACTGCTCGGTGTTTGGATACTGAACGGACGTGCGGCGTTCCGTCTTTTCGAAAAGGCTACTCGGGAACCCGCCTCAGTGCGCGACAACGACCCAAAGCAGTGCTTCAGACTCTCTGGATGTCCAAGCCGACTTAAGCGGCAGGTCTTGCTTCTTTGCTGAGTCGTCTTGGCGTTGTATCTTCCATCTTTGCTACTATTTCTGGTATCAACTTGAACAAGCTTGTTCTGCTTGCTTCCAGTGCCTCGGTACCCGATTCCGGTGCAAGGGGCCCCAACAAGGACAAGGACCAGGAGGCGGCAACACCTGCAGTATCGCGGCATTTGATGAGCGGGGTCTTTTGTGGTGTTGAGCCCATTTTCAACTCAAGGGAGCCTGGGAAAGGCCATGTCAGAGAGCACAGCCACGACGGCAGGCGGCATCTTATCCTAATCAAGGTACCTTGAGTCGCTAGAAATGTGGTTTGATTACAAAAGGCTTATACATGTCATGGCAATAATACCTGCCTATTTCGGGAAGCTCATGGTGGTATCTTGTCAGGAGCTCAGAGTTGGTTGAACAACAACAACAACGACAACTCTATGTCCATTGCATTTCATCATCTGCGTTTACGTTTTCTAATTTTAGACCAGGACACAAGTGTTTCCTGTGGGATTCAATACAAATCAAAAAGATATGCACTATCCCGGCCGTCTCCAAGGGACATCACCAGTTTCCCAGTCGGCAAACGTGTAAAAAGTTTTTCTGACGAGCTCTGTTATTGGACCGTCTCGTCGTACGTCAACTGAGGCGGAGCAACCAACTAAGTCTTCCGTCTGTTCATGCCGTTGGGGGTTTATTGGACTATATAATAGCCCGCCGGCAAAGGTTCGTTTCATGTTTCGCAACCTTGGAGCTTATCCTCTGATCCCGGTCCTTATTTGGGCGAGTTTTCCTGTTTTGGCCCTCAAAATGGCTCATTCCCCTCTCAGGATTGCTTGGCATTCAGGAACCAATGCTACTACCGCATAGTTGACAAAGCACTGCCACCTTTGCCGCTTGAACCATGGCTGATGGTGATTGGCTATAATGTTAGCCGTGTTTTCGTCGAGGATCGCCAGACGGCACTCTCCAAGTGGACAATGGCATGCGTTGCCGCATCCCTTAGGAGGAACAAGTTGGCAAGACGGATCTTTTTACGTGTTTTCTTTTGTTAATAGTATTGTGGGAGAAACCTCATTGCCGATATTATGGTGTAAGACGGTACAAGGCGCTTGCCGCAACCAAGTATCGTTCAAGAGGAATGTCTGTCACTAATCGACCATCCCATCTCGACATCCTGCCCGCAAAACGTAAATAGCCAGCGCAAATAAGACGGGCCAGACCCATAATACTAGTGCAGGAACATGTCTGGATCTCGTATTGACCACCACAGGGGATCGATGGACATGCGGAGTCGACAAGACGATGGCATTCGATAGCCAGACTACATCAGCAACAAGTAGCCAGTCTGTAAAAGAAATAACCCTGGCAGGCATAGACCACCCGGAATACAGCAGCTTTATCTACACCAAAAACATCATTGAAACAACCTCAGACTTCACACAACCCGGCCGTCGAAACCGCCCACGCTGGCCTCCGGGTGAAGGCACACCTAAACGAAGGACATGGCCTCGAGGCCCTTCGCCACGAGGGACTTCGACGCCGGCAAATTCAGCAGCGGCTTCTTCTTCATCATCGTCCCGGTGGTGATTCTCCTCATTGCCGGCGTGGCATCCTCGGCGGTCCGGTACGCGCGGCGGTCACGGCGACGGCGGGCGACAACGGCCGACGACGCCTTCACCACGGACCGGCCAGACCATCGGCCCCCGAGCACCATCCACCCGTCCCTCATCACGCAACTGCAGAACCTGTCGCCGGAGCCCTACGCGCTGTCGTCCTACCCGTCGCAGCGGACGCTGGACGAGATTCACGAGGTCGTGACGCCGTTGCAGAGCGTCCAGCTCCGAGAGCCCTACGAACGGCGGCATTACGCTGCGGAAAGAAGCCCGTCTGGCTTGTCTCTATAAATTTGGGAGTTGTTTTGCAGAGGAAATTATGGACAGAGGTCGGGATAGCATTTTCACAATGCTGCGTGTAACTAAATGGCGGGATGGAAGTCTGGGCTTCATTGTACATTAGCATATCCGAGGTAAACGAATGCGATGTGGGACTCATGTATTATTTTGTCTTTTTATTTTCTATCATCATGTACATTTAGCAGATTTAGGACAAGGCCAGAAAACTTGTACCCCTAAGATATACCAGCTACTTTCCGGCTCCAACATCGCCAGCAGACCAACTCGTCCGAAGGGAGGTCTCTCCGTCCTGGAGCCCATTCTGCCGTCTGGTGGTATGGGAATGCAGGCTAATGTCGATCAAGGGCACTCGGCCCAGGTGCCAGGTACAGCACGAGCCCCGGATCGGTGCTGCCCAGCACAGTCAAGTAAGTGGCCCTTGTCGCCTCCGCCTGGCGACATCCGTCCATAGTTCGGCGGTGGACGAGGCCGACGTCCTCGGGGGGTGGCTGACAGCACGACCTGAAACCCACGACTGGGGCACTGCGGCTTCCCGATGAAGAAAATCGGGGTGCCCTCGCCGTCGGCCACCGTCGCCTCGGCCATGGTCTTGACGTGTCTGGTGGATTTATCGCGCCAGGCCTTTATATTGGCGAGCGTGGCGGCAGCGTGCAGCGCCGGCATGGCCCGTCCCCTCCAGCGCTCTGGATAGTTGCGACGACGGCGTCGACCTCCACGTCGTCTTTTGAGCTTGTCGGGGCGGCGACCCGGCCGGGCTGTACCACTGAGTCGGAACATTCGCCGCTGCTGGGTGTGCTGAATCATGACCTGCAAGTCTGCGCCTCCGCGATGCAACGGGGCACTTGGGCGTTCTCGCCACGTCATTGGTCATCTTTCAATGTAGGATGGTGGACGCCTAGGAGGAGACTCTTCAACACCGGAGAGGGCTGTGATGTGAGAAGCTATTTGGTGTTTGCTCTGAGCGTTGGGAGTTGTACTTGTCGCATCGTGAAGGGACACCAGCCAGCGCGGGTTTCACGCCATGTGAATTCCAGTTTTGCGCTCGGAAAAGTATAAACTGTATGTTAAATGAATGTCTTCCGGGTAGTTGAATATTGATAAGCAGTCACATTGAGAGGTCGTTGAACGGTTCCCGCGGCGAAACACGACCGTGGAACAAGTCGACGGCATAAACGAACATGTGCGCCTGCTGTGTGCCACAAGATTAGTCCTATCTCCTAAAATACGACGACTTCAATCTTGACATTGGTAAGCACCTCATCGCCCGCTGCGAGACGTTGTATCTTCTCCAGCACTTCTACTTACGATTCCAATCTGTGCGCCGGCAAGGCGAAATACAGCGGCATAGCCCCAAATCGGCAAACAATGACAGCTTTCAGATACGAGTGTCCCTTTGAGGAACATTGAAGAGCGAATGCATCATAGATACACAGCGGCATAGCCGTTTCCATCTTCCACGTCAACATGGTTCCAGAACAAGAGCCTGGAAAGCAATATTCCTCCAAGGCAACTAGTATACCTCGAGGGCAGCATCATGTCCCACTCGATGCCAGTCCCGGAAATAGCAATTTCCCATGTCGCATATTTAGCTCCAAGCATCTTTGGCCGCTGCTCGCCAGCATCGCAAGGGCCCAGATCTCGGGGTAAAATGAGATATCGGATCGTCTGCGTCCTCGGTTCCACTGGCCAATGTATTCGCTACCGCGTTAACCATGTTCGATAAAGTACAATCATCCCGTCTCTACGTGGAGCCGCACATAGATAAGTTTGGTTTGGTGGGGGGGTGAACGGCCAGAACGGCGGTCATGCCGTGTTCCAAAGACTGTCACTGTGAGTCCATCACAAATGACTCGTCATTTATGCCGGGCCGGAAAGGGATCGTGGTGTCTGCGGAGCAATTACAGCGGAAACTGGGTGGCTTGATGTCATCGGAAGTGGATATGCGAGGCAGTAACCGGGAACTAGACTGACGAGCGTAGACCGGGGGGGGAAGATGGTTGCGAAGGGGGTTCTCGATGGAGTTCAATAATATGTTGGGGGGGCTGCCGTGGCGAGAGTTTTCCGAGGCCCTCACGTCGGCTTGTTGCCTAGCCAGCATCAATCCGCTGCGAAACACTAGAGGAAAGTTTCACGAAAAGTTTGTGATGGTGAGAGCCGCCGCCTTGTAAGCCCCCAAGGGAGACATTTGAGTAGGGGTGCGATACACGACGCCTTGCGCACTTTTACATCATGGCAACGGGTTTGTGTTCAGTTCCGACGCTAGATACAGCTACGAGAGGGCCTTGATGCACCCTGTCTACAACGCAACGTGCCCGTGCACTCGGCAACAAGTTCTGAATGTTGGATATATACAGCTTGCTACATATGGCAGAATTCCATACTATAGACAAGTAATGTCGCTTCATCATGCAACAACATCACAGCTTACTCTTTGACGTTAGCTGCTCATGCCCATTGCACAACTTCTCCAGCCCCCTCCTCAGTTCGGGAGCCATGCCCGTCTTTGAAGGTCTACCTGTGGATCTCTCGACAAATACATGTACAAAGTCACAGACAGCCTTTACTCCCTCGACACCCTTTTCGAATACAGCTAGCTCAAAGGTGACACTCGAGTTGCCAAGCTTGGCCACACGAACACCCACCTCGGCCACGGCGGGATAAGCAATGGACGAGTAGAAGTTGGTGCTCGTGTGGGCAACAAGTGGGTGGTACGGCGAGTTCGGGGGGTGGATGCCGCAGTATTCCATGAGGTACGCATTCGCGGCGGAGTCGAACCTAACATTGTGTGAGCCGGGTCTGATGACATCGCGAGGAATGTTGCCTGTACGACGTGGCGGGAGCTTACAAGAAGTTGTAGACGGAATTATTCATGTGGTCGTACATGTCGTTGTCGTTCCTACAAAAGCGCGGTGGTGTTAGCATTTGGAAAGAAACCCCATCATCCGAGGGTCCGGAAACGACAGAGGTTGTGCAAGCCAGTTTATGAGTTTTTATATATTTGCGAGCACCAGGTACGGCAAATAGTAAAATTATAGGACAAAACCAGCGGCTGAAACTAAGATGCGAGGAGAAGGGGTGGCAAGGTCAATGGATGTATCCTCTGGAATGGGTACAATTAAATACATGGTGCCCATGAATGCGGCGCGCATAAAACCTACCATCGTGTCCGGTAGTCCAATATGTAAGGATAGTCTGCCCTCGTACGCGCCTTCTTGTCCGCTGAAGGGGCCATGGCTGCGAGACGGAGATGGTGAGAGGCCAAGCCCAGGCGGGGGACACTGGTGATTCTCGACCACGACGCAAGCGATGTGAGACAAACGCGTTGACAGGGTAGAGAGGCGCGGGGGTCTTGCGGATGATCAATTGATGGTAGCAGGCGCGCTGGTGCCGCTCCAATGTCCTCGTATACCACAACCTTTGGTGGTGGTTTGAAACGTCAGCGTTGATGAAAAGCTCACCAGACGGGTTGTGATTCTGTGAATAGCACGAGCCGAGGTCCAGACCTGGATGGCATGCTGTGCCGTGTGCACTGACTGTGGGGAAGGAGCGCTGTGAGTTCTTTCCTACCCAGGTAGGGACACATGCATTTAGTCTCCACCCTTGACTGACAACGGCTATAGGGTACGTGCAAGAACTGAACGTTGTATGCAATGAATGCATAACTACAAGTCGATCAACTGCTCTGTAGTTGCCTGAATCGGAAATAAAGCGGTAAAATTCACACAACGATCCTTTCGCAAGGGTCAAAATTACTTCAAATTCAAGTTGAAAGACAAAAGACACCGTGTTCCCTAACCAAAACTGATCAAACTACACGCTTCTCCCCCCTCCTTCGACAACTTCACCAACCAGCATCAGCTACTCGTCTTTCATCAATCAATACGAGGCACAGAAAACTCACGTGATATTATATCCTGGAATATTTCATCCATATAGTACAAGGACGAAATGTGCCCTCCAGGAATAGTCTTTGCCCTGGCGCTCTTGTAATTCGCCACCAGCCACTTGTTCGTAGCCCCCCCGATATGGTCCTTGTCCGAGCCAACAACAAGCACAGGCTTCTCGGCATGCTCGTCATCCAGCCTCGCCGGTTCGAATCCCCAGTCCGCATGAATCACGTCCGAAACCTCCATGAAGCCATCCCAGTTCTGGCAACACGTCACCGCCCCCCGCGCCATCCGCCGAATAAACTCGTCCTCCGTCGTCTCCTTGCGCCCGAGCCACTCGGCGTAGACCTTCCTCTCGTCGTCGTCCATCATGTCGAACAGCGTCTGCCGGAGAAACTCGCTGGCGCCTTCCTCCGTCTTCATCTTGGAGGCTATGGCTGAGCGGAAGGCCCGCTGCAGCAGGCGGAACGGAACCAGCTGCGTCGGCGGTCCCACGGAGAACCAGTTGGCCCAGCTGAGGTGCTTGGCATGGTCCCTGTGGTACTTGAATGGGGAGAAGCCGGCGAGCAAGACGCAGCCGACAATCTTGCGGCCCGGTGGGAATAGGTCGTATGACGCGCCGTACAGCATCTGGGCCGGGACGGTGCCGTAGGATCCGCCGGCCACGTAGATCCGATCGTAGGCACCTGTGGGATAGAGGTGCGACAGCAGTGCCGTCATGTCGCTCGCAAGAGCTGCGTGGTAAGGCATCTCGCTGTCCCGAGTGCTCGTGTTGCCGTTGCCGGCCAAGGTGGGAGCGATCCAATGTACTCCGAGTTTGCGGCACGGCTCTGGGACGTCGTGGGCTGTTCCAACGCTCATCACGCCACTGAAGAAGATGACAATTGTCCTTGAATCAGACGGTCCGTTGTGGGCGTACGCGAGTTGACGGCCCCCCGAGAGTTGGAGCATGTGTTCTTCGGCGCCCTTGCTCTTGCTGTACGCCGGGGTTGCCATGTTCGCGAGTGGGATGCCCCCATCGGGGGGATTGGCAGTCATGTCGTGCATGATGTATTGCGAGTGCAAGTCCTGTACGCACGAAACAGTATCTTGACGATTTTGTCATGGGATAATCTAAACGGGCAGACCATGTTAGATGGGAGGCCGCGCGGAGTAGTCACACCAGGAAGTCTATTCAGCTGCCTGGACTAGCTGGGCTGCCTAGCCACGCGGCATATCTAGTGGCGTTTCTTGAACATCAAGACGACCGAATGTAACAGAGTAGGCGAGACATGGATAGCCATGAACCAGGACATGATATAACAAGCAAGACAAAGTCTTTGTGTTTAAACACGGATACCAATGCAATGGTTGACGATATCACGTACCCAGACTGATTAAGCTCAGGGCGGCTCAGGGCGGGTGGTCGCAAATCTAACCCGGCTTAGGCAAATCGGCCAAGCCTGACGTTTCTGCCGCATCTGACCGCATTTTTTCTGGTGGTGCTCCCCTCCCTGTGCCTGACGGGCTTGGCCGGCACGGAAGAGTCTGGCATTTCGGCGGGACGCCAGAGAAAAGCTGATCGATACGATTCACATCGACGGGGGATTAGCAAAGGGCACATCTTTCCCCTGCGATGCTTCGAGCGGTCCTTGGCGCGGCCTGCTAAAACCTTGACCCGCCCATGCTTGTAAGAGGAGCAGGCTCAAGAGCTTTTGGGGCTTTTCTAAGAACATTTACCGCCATGTCTGCGACGACAACCGACCCGTTGGTTGCGCCAACCGCGGAAACCGACAGATCAAAGTCTCTTACGGCTGCACAGATTGCCCAAGAGAAGGAAGAGTCGCGAAGAGCCGCTGCCCAAGCTAGAGGCATTGCGTCAAAGGCCGCGAGGGATTCTGACGGCACGACAATCGCCCCAGTCAAAAGTATCTGGCCGCCTCCATACTATTTTGAAGACGACCTGCGGCGAGTACGGCCATACCACTGGACATACAATACATTCTGCAAGGAGAGATGGCGTGGAAGATCCTTGATCGAGATATTCGAATCCGAGTTCCGAGACCGACCCGCCGAGTATTACAGGACCTCCATGGAGAAGGGAGACATCTTTGTCAATGGGACCAAAGTCGGACCTGACTACATTCTTCGAAATGGTGACTTGATCTCACACACCTTGCACCGACACGAGCCCCCAGTTACGTCGGATCCTGTTGGCATCATCCACGAGGACGACGACATGATTGTCATCAACAAGCCCTCTGGAGTGCCTGTGCACCCCGCGGGCCGATACAAGTTCAATTCAGTCTTGGAAATTATGAAGGCCGAGCGAGGGCAAGAGTTCATGCCATATCCGTGCAACAGGCTGGATCGGCTGACCAGCGGCATCATGTTTGTCGCAAAGAGCGTCAAGGCTGCGGAGGCATTGGGCAATCAGATCAAGTCACGGACAGTGAGGAAGGAATACATGGCCCGCGTCGTGGGGGAGTTTCCCGAGGGAGAGATTGTTTGTGACCAGCCCATCCTATCAATATCGCCGAAGCTCGGCCTCAACCGTGTTCGGGCGGAAGGCAAAGCGGCACGGACGGTGTTCAAGCGTTTGGCATACTACCCGCCAAGGGGCGATGCAGAGGCAAACGGTCAACAGGGAGGAGTCCCAGAGCCTACAGACAAGGAACTGAGCAGGCTGCCCGCCGAGGAAGGCGACGAGTCCAACGGCAAGCCCTGGGTAAACAAACGAGGATACTCCATTGTTCGGTGCCTTCCGGTGACGGGAAGGACGCATCAGATTCGAGTGCACCTACAGTACCTGGGACACCCCATCCAAAACGACCCGATATACGCAAACCAAAGAGTATGGGGCTTCAACCTAGGCCGGAACGATGCTGATGGCACTGTCAGTACGGACGAGGACGTCATCAGCAGATTGTCGCGCATGGGCAAGGAGGAAGTGGCTCAGGCAGTGGTTTACCACGACGAAATGCTGGACAAGTACGAGAAGAAGAGGGCGGAAAAGATGACTGGCGAAGTATGTGATGTATGCGCCACGCCATTATACTCCGATCCAGGAATGCACGAACTGTCACTGTGGCTTCACAGCTTGCGGTACGAAGATGCTGGTGGAGCCTGGTCATACAAGAGTCCTCTACCAAAATGGGCTCTTCCTCCAGAAGGCATGGCCGGGCCTACAACTGTCGGCGGTATGGATGAATTGGTAGAAGCCGTGAAGGATGATAATCCGGAAATTCACGGGATACCTGGCGCGGAAATGGAAAGGAATCAATAGACCGACGGAAGAAAAAAAACGGATAAAAAATTTTCTGGAACAAATGTCAAATGATGCTGCCAATCTCACCAATATGACGTAGCATTTCCGTCCTTCTTTGTCATGAATGACCTGATGGTGATGGACTAAGCAACAGTAAGCAAGTGAGTCCAGACAGATGGCCTCGTCCTAGCCCTACACAGATAGTTTCTCACTAGACGGTTGAGCAACGGCAAAGCATTTGTGGCGCAAAACCAAGAAGAGACGAAGCCAACTTAAAAAAGCCACCGGGGATTCTAGTCTCCATCACGAGACCCCATTGGATCGATACCGGAGGCGAAAACAAAGCAATGTCTACCAGAGGTGACGAAAGAAGGAAAAAATTAGAACAGAAACCAATGAATGGACAAATTACCATGGAATACATGCACACTCCGTCCATAGTGGAGACGCTTTCAGCTGATCGTGCATCTGACATCTTGCATCTTGACAGTCTAAAGAATTCACCGACGGACTAATGCAGCCCATCCCATCGGGTGGCGCGCTTGGGAAACTGTGCCGAGGAGCAGAGGGCATATCGGGACGGGATGTCATGGGCTCAACTCTGGCTGCCTTCGGCCATGCAGCGATCAGAATTCGCTAGTTGGGACGAGAGTTTGTGGTGTGGTGCGTCGGCATGGCCTTGGGCGGCAAGAGGCAAGAGGCAACATTAGAGCGCTTGCGAAAGCATATCGGACGCTGAGAACGAGGCAATAGCTTGTTGGCGTACTTTGCGCAAGTTGACGAATCACAAATCTCGGGCCCGGAAGAGCCGTTCTGCGTCTTAAGGCATCCGGGACAGCGGACTTTGCTGGACAGATCGGGGGATGGTCGGTACGAGGCGGCCGAGGAATCCGAATACGCGATGACCAAGATGAAGATTCTGTCTCATCGGGCCCTGCGAGGGCTCAGCGACGGCCGTGGAGGTGGCGTCCGGAGCGCAAGTGATGCAACTGCATGTTGGGCGTACGCTTGAACGAACGAGGTGGTGCCGCCGGCGGAACGTTGAAGATGATGCTGGCCATGGGAATAGGGACATGGAGGGAATAGGAGAATAGGTCC